TGTTTCCAAGTTATCAAACAGGAGGGGGTAGGGTGAACTTAGGACTCTCCCTATATTTCATTTCATTTGTTATATTGTCACATACATGAATAGGTCTGGTTTATGGGATCATTATTTTTTTGTATGCTCCAATGAACAAATTATGTCTTTAAGAGAAAGATATATACCTACATATTACACACAAAATCCTTCCCAATTGAAACTTACTGGTCTATTATCACACTGTAACGTGCCACTGCTAGCAAAAGTGTGCATGTTTCTAAGACATATTGAAAAAATATTTTCATAATACAAAGCATGTTACAATAACTTCATATCCACGTTGCAATTAAGAATTTTAACATTTTAAACTATGGTTTATTTCAATTTTATTGTATGATATCACTTATTTATTTATTGTGTGTCTTGCTTGTAAATGTATAAGTATATATGTAATTGTTAATGTATAATTGTTATCCTCATGTAGCACCATACGTGTGCTTAAGTTTAAATAAATTGTCTTGTCTTGTCTTGGGATCTTGACCGTTTCCAAATTCTCAAACAGGAGGGGTGGGGTGACCGCAGGGACTCCCTCTATATTTCATTTGATTTATTATATTGTCCCATACATGAATATATTTGGTTTAGGGGTGGGGATCTCGACCATTTCAAAGTTCCCAAACAGGAGGGTTGGGGTGACCCCAGGGACTCCCCTGTATTTCATTTGATTAGTTATATTGTCCCATACATGTATATAAATGGTTTAGGGGTGGGGATCTCGACTGTTTCCAAGTTCTCAAACAGGAGGGGTGGGGTAACCCTAGGGACTTCCCCCTATATTTCATTTGATTAGTTATATAGTCCCATACATGAATATATATGGTTTAGGGGTGGGGATCTCATCCGTTTCAAAGTTATCAAACAGGAGGGGGTAGAGTGACCCAAAGGATTCCACCTATATATCATATGATTTGCTTACATTCAGGTATCATAAAATCTAGTTGCACTATTTGCGAAAACAAAGTAAGAAACTTCCAGCTATGTTAACTGACCCTTCAAAATTGAGAAAAAAATTAAAGTAATATGTTTACACTTTAAAAGCATCTTACATGCATTATCAACATTTATCACTGATAAAGAAGATTTATACTGTCACCAGGAACATATATATTGTTAGATATACTGTTCCCAGCTGTCACATTGTATTGGATTTTGACATTAAAATTTGTCAAAAAGTAATTTTGAGTTTCTGTATCAAATATTTTTTGCTTTTTCTTTCTTTTACATATATCTTTTGGTTTCCATTTCTAGTGTTTATATTTATTTACCATGCATAGATGTATTTTGTCACCTGCCTGAAATTTTTTTTTGTAGTTGATCTCCAAAACCCGGAATTACCCTTATCCGCTTCCGGAATCGGACCCGATATTGTAATTGTCTACACGGCATCCATTGTTTTTCAATGTTGTTTTTGTCAGTCAGATACGATTTTACTCGAATTTACACATTACTTGTAGGCGATTATCTGTATAAAGCTAGCGGTTGAACAAAATGAACATCGCTGTCATGAATAATAAAGATGAAAATACGTTTTGAGATCGTTTATTTAGAGACTTTGGTAAAAAGGTTTGCAAAGTTATTTTTAATTTTCTTTCAAGTGAAAGGTCCGTCGGGCGTAGCTAGTAACCAAGTCGAGAGTCCGATTGCAAAAGTGGAAGGTCGCGGACCTCGGACCACCGCTAATTTGAATCCCTGCCTCCAAATTGAAAAGATACGAAAATTTCGTCTTCTAATTTGAAATTGCCGCCAACAGCATGAACAGTGGAACTTATTAATAGACTACTGACGTAGTTGTAACACGTATTGACGACAAACAATATTCCTACGACTTTTGCCATTTGGGAAATCTAAACTACTTGTCTTTAAAGATTTTCGGCGATTAAATATTTCATACAATTGTTCTTTGACATCTTAGCCAAAAGCACAGGGGATAATAAACTACATAAGGATTCCTAATGTGCTCTACTTCCTATGTGCAACTTCAAAACTTTTGGGTGGTTCGACGATCATTTAAGGTTTTTTCTGGTCATATTTTTGTAATCCAGAATTAAAAGTATGAAAAAACTATTCAATTAGTTATAAATAACATTATATCCAGCTAGATAATAACAATGGCACGTATTTCAGCATTTAATGGGTAGAACACAAATCTAGGGTGCTCGCATAAGGCAGCTTAACTGCCTAAAAAAACAATTTCAAATGGTCACAACTTGAAAACAAATTTATAAGGGGTCTTCAGTAACTATTGTAAGACTACAATGGGTTGACCTGCTTTTATAAATTTAACTACTGGGCCAAATTAAACCAAACTTGGTCTCAATCATTATTAATAAGGGTATCCAATACTATTTATTATGATTTTAACCTTATTTTACATGATTTCCAAAACCACAGTAGATACAGGTGAGCAACACAGGCTCTAGAGAGCCTCTAGTTTTTGTCGAGCCTGCGACTTTTGTCGCAGAAAACTCGACATGGGGATAGTGATCCGGTGGAAGGTAGAAGACCTGGATGCTTCATACCTTGTATATAGATGCCTTATGTTATGAAGTTTCCGTCTGTCATATGTCCTTTGTCCTTGACCTCATTTTCATGGTTCAGTGACTTCTTGAGAAAAAAGTTAACATTTTTTGTAATGTTAATTTATCTCTTATTATGAGTAATAGGATAACTATAGTTCATGTCTGTCAGACAGTTTTCACTTGACCTCGACCTCATTTCATGGATCAGTGAACGAGGTTAAGTTTTCATGGTCAAGTCCATATCGCAGATACTATAAGCAATAGGTCTAGTATATTTGGTATATGTAATGATTGTAAGGAGTACATGTCCAACTGGCAGGTGTCATCTGACCTTGACCTCATTTTCATGCATGGTTCAGTGGTTAAAGTTTAGTTTTTGTGTTTTGGTCTGTTTTTCTATTACTGTATGCAACTATTTTTGGTGTATGGAAATATTTTACGACGTACATGTCAGTCTGGCAGGTTTTATTTGACCTTGAGCTCATTTTCACGGTTCATTGCTCAATGTTAAGTTTTTGTGTTTTGGTGTGTTTTTTTAATACTGTATGGAAAAGGTCAAGTATATTTGCTGTATGGAAATATTTTACAATGTACATGTCAGTCTGGCAGGTTTTATTTGTCCTTGACCTCATTTTCATGGTTCATTGCTCAATGTTAAGTTTTTGTGTTTTGGTCTGTTTTTCTAATACTGTATGCAAAGGTCAACTATATTTGGTGTATGGAAATATTTTACGATGTAGAAATCAGTCTGGCAGGTTTTATTATGTGACCGCAAAAAAATTTTGCAGTCGTATATTGGTTAGACATTGGCATCGTCGTCCAAAGACACATTGGTTTTCGCACAATAACTTAAGTTTAAGTGAATGGATCTCTATGAAGTTTAACCATAAGGTTCAATACCACAAAAGGAAGGTTGGGATTGATTTTGGGGGTTATGGTACCAACAGTTAAGGAATTAGGGGCCAAAAAAGGGCCAAAAATACGCATTTTTGTAACTTCCAGACAATAACTTGTGTTTAAGTGTATGGAACTCTCTGAAATTATACCAAAAGTTTCCATACAACAAAGGGATGGTTAGGATTGGCTTTGGGGGGGAAATGGCTTAAACCGTTTAGGAATTAGGGGCAAAGGGGAAAAAACAAGGGTTTCCTGGTTAATGGACAATTTAAAAGCAGTATAAGGGAGGTAATCCAAAAACAAAATTGTACAATGTTGTACAATGTTAGATTACCTCCCTTACACTGCTTTTAAATGATCTATTTAAGACTTTTATGATGTGTATTTAAATTGGTAATTATGGTTGCAAACTCCATTGGAAATTTGAATTGAGATAATGATCATATCTTGAGGGAAAGATTTTTTTTTTTGGAAAAGGGGGGGGGGGGAGTGGGGTTAAAAAAGAATTTGTGGGGGGCAATTTTTTTTTTCATTTCAGATTTCAGAAAATTTCTTCAAATATTTTTTTTTTGCCAAAAAAGGGGGGGGGGGGTCATTACGCAACAGCATGGTGTATTTCACAAGGGGTCAATTTGCAACAGCATAGTGTATTGCACAAAAGCAAAAAATTGAATATAAATTCAAATGATATCAAATCATATAACCAATTTTAAGTTCTTTGACTACAGTTATTCGGTTCAATTATGAAAAGCATGACACATCTCTGTGTCAACAGTTTATATTTCCATATATAGATTGGTTCAAATCCAAGCACTTAAACTTGATACTTACCTGAAAGATATCCCGATTCATTTCTTGGTGTCAAAATTAGAAAAATTGATACCTCATTAACATGTTTTGCTTTGTTTGTATCAGTTTAAAAAAAAAAATTTCTGTGCCTCACACAAAAAAGTGCAAGTGGACCTGACATGTTAGTTTTTTAGTTATTTATTCATTTTTATTCCGTAGGCAATGGGGGCATTAAGTGTTGGCTGTCCTTCTGTTTGTCCAATTTTTGTTTCCGCACTCTAACTTAAGTTTTCCTTAACTTTAGTATTCATCATCCAAATTTAATGAAACTCATACACAATGCTTAGAACCAGAACTCGCAGACAGAGTTCGATTTGGGTAGTGAGTCACTTATCGTTCTAAAGTTCTGCCCCTTTATAACTTGAAATATTGCAAATGTTTTTAGTTTCCGCACTCTAACTTAAGTTTTCCTCATCCAAATTTTATAAACTCATACACAATGCTAAGAACCACAACATGTAGACAGAATTTAATTTTGGCAGTATCTCATCAACCATTCTAGAGTAATGCCCCTTTTAAACTTGGAAAATTTCGAAGCTTGAGCAATAGCATCCGTATCCTCAGACACATTCTTTTTTTATTTTTAAACTGGTTTTGGTGTCTGTACTTGTCTTTAGATAAGCAACTTTAGTCATAACATGTGATGATGTGCAAGAATATTGATCAGTACGCTCCAGACACAATGAGCTTGAATAAATAAAAATACTTTTAATTCTAAAAATATCATTTTTTTTTTCTCCATTTATTACAAAGTTGTATAACTAGAAATGAATGTAACAACAAGTGAAGCCTTTAATGATTGCATGTACCTCAGCATTAGCTCTTAGGTCAGTATGATATTTTTTGACAATTTGCAGCCAATGGTCCCAAATTGTCAAATCAAAGCATTGTTGATGTTGTGATCCAGCCATATTTATAGCTAGTCTGATATTCTTTCTGACCATACTTTTTTCAATATTTTTTTCTCTTTTCATTTCCAATCTTACTGTAAAATTTCTATGTTATTGTCCAAAGGTAGGGAATTTCCGAATATTAATGCAAATATTGATATATATATATATATATATATAGATATTTCAATTTTAGATTTTTTTTTTACCCTTATATTAAGAAAAGATTGGTTAAATTTGAATACAGGACATGTATTATCTCATGATTAATATCTCATGACCGGTGTTTTGACCTCAAGAATTGTGTCTATGACCTGTGTTTTGACCTCATGAATTGTGTCTATTTAATTATGTAACAGGTCATGAGATATTAATCATGAGATAATTTTACAAGAATGGAAAGGGAAATCTTCAAATAAGTGATATTTTTTTTTATATGACATTAATAATAACTGGCTTAATCATTTCCAAAAAGAGGCCTTAGAAATGCACATTCTCAACAACAAAAATTAAAAAAGATAATAACTATTTTTTATCTAAATTGGTGTTCATTCTTCATTAAGAAAAAATACATGTCCTGTATTCAAATTTAAATGTACAAATACCTAATGATGAGATATTTCCAATTACTGTTAAATAGCAATATAATGGGATATAAATGTAGAACAAACAAATAAATTTTATTGCAGAAAATGCTCAGGTAAGAGTTATGCAATTTTTTTGTATATTATTTCAATCAAATTTCTGATAATATTATAACTTATTAATTAGAACTTGATTATTGACTTATGTCAGATGATAATGACACAAGTGAAATAAAATTTGCTTGCATTTTTTATACATATTTTTTTAAATTTTTTGTCTTTTCTTTGAAAAAAAAAAACCAACATCTGATTAATCATTCAGCTAGCTAGCAAAATTAACAGAATCTTTTAGTGTAGTGTAGATTAAAATAAATAATACATTTGTAGGTTTACTATTGAGGTCAAGAATTTGTGTATTCAGTTAGGTGTGTAATAAATTGTGTCTATTTAACTATGTAACAGGTCATGAGATATTAACTGTGGTGAATTAAGCCTGGGGTTGTTTCCAATTAATACTTACACTTTTGATTGTAATTATTTGAAAATCATGACAGTTGATAATCATACTGACTCTTACTGGCCTATGGAAAGAATTGGAGTAATACCATTTCAAAAAAGTGTGGGAATCAACTTAAATATATTAATACACATGTTGACCTACATTTCATTGAACAACAACGTACACAAGCATAAGATACTAATATAATACTTTCAAAATTCTTATCAACTGATTCAATTGATGTACAAATACGTTTTCAAATTAATTCATATATAGTAAATCATTATAAATTTTGATTTACAAAGAAACTTTATGCAAGTGTATATCAAAAATAAAAGGGTTGTTCGACCAATCTTTTCTTAATTTAAGGGCAAATAAAAAACATGTCAAAAGTTGGCAGTTGATGATTAAAATGGTGTAGAAAGTTTCTGCAAGTCATTAAAACACATAATTAGTTTCATGATATGTCTTCAACTTAGTATTCTGCACCATCTCCAAAACCAGAGTGATCGCAAAGATCCAGCATGTCTGAATCAAAAATATCACAAAGACATAAGAGCTACAGTTCTGCACCAACTCCAGCGTTACACTCAATGATAACATTTCAGTTCTCCTAAAATCACATAATGTAATGTTATTTTCATTTAAAAGGAATCTATATTTAAAGTTTGAATAATCTTAAGAATAAAGACAGTTCTATACCTAAATATTACTACACAAATAAAAACAAACTAGAGGCTCTAAAGAGCCTGTGTCGCTCACCTTGGTCTATGTGCATATTCAACAAGGGACACTTTCCAACATTGTAGACGAGAACAGAATTCATGACAAAAATCTGTTTTGTTGATCTTGTATTGCTGATCGTTTAGTTTGTTTAGTGTCCCTTTTTCTCCTTATGTTTTTGCTCAAAACACAAAAGAGGGTAAAAAAATTCTCAATTTAAGGGCAATCACTCCTACAAAGAGTGACAGTCTACTAACTATATCGGCTAAATTTGACTTGTTAGAAGAACTTGCTTTGTTGATCATTTTTGCGATTTAAGTGTCTATTTATATATTATTATTTTCAACATATATGGCAAAACACAAAAAAAAAAAAACGGTAAAAATTGTCATCAAAGGGCAATAATTCCAATAAGGAGTCATTTAACCATTTCCTCATTATTGTTTTAATTATAGATCTTGTCTTGCTGATCATTTTTGCTTATTTAAGTTTCTATCTATCTATTATAATTTTTAAAATATAAAGGCAAAAATGCAAAAAATAAGGAATGAATTGTGCACAATTATAAAATGAGATTAAGTCAACAATTTTAAAATTTACAAGTAAAATTTTACTATAATAATTTTTTTGGAATTCTAGGTAAATGCAAAATAGGATTTCTATTTAGAAACAACAGAAATAAAATATATAATTATAAATATCTATAATTGTAAAGTAACTTATATAAAAAAATACAATTACAAAATGTATTGATGATTATGTGGTTGACTAAAACTGATTGTTTGTTGGTGTTAAATCCTACTTCCTATTCATTCATATCATTTGATGAAGTCCGTTCTATTGTTAAAGGAAACTACCAGTAGATCAAATGTACCTCATATTTTGTAGGTGATTGGAATCCTAATTTTACCCCTACTATGTTGGTGATATGCTTAAATAACCAATCCAGTTAGGTAGAGCCCTCTATTTTTAGGTCCATTAACTATGATTCACAACAACTAAATCAAGAACCAATGATCCTTTACTTTTGGAAGAAGTATTTCAATAAAGATAACAAGCTATCAAAAGCCATACAAATTATTTAGTAACTACAGATGTTATATCTTTCTGGTGTATAAAACAAGATCATTGGTATAGTATTTTGGACTGTATACATGTTTTTTTTTCAAAGTGATGATGTACTGAATGAAGAAATAAAGATTACCAAAAGAGAATTAAGATTTTAAAATACTGTTGATAGGTATTTGCAATTAGTCATTCAGATTCCCTTTAGTAGATGGTTTCAATGTAAATATTGCACATTATAGTTTGAAAAAAGTCTCATTACTGACCAAAATACAAATTTTATAAGTTTTACTGTGACTTGACTGTTAGTGTACGTTGCACGTATATAGTACTCTACCTATTGCAATTTATTCAAAATTCTGACCAAATTGCAATTTGTTAATTTCAATATAGAACCAAACTGTTTAACTGGTCAGAAATTTGAACACTGCTGTAAAAATCCGCAGTAAAAACTTGAAAGTGCAAGGTAAGATGTTTTAATTCAAATGATGTCTGATTCTTATGAATATAGAAGACTTTTCAAAAGAAAATTTTATGAAAGCTTAGTTTGGACATTTTTATAGCAATTCAAAATTACTATCTATCACCTTTAGCATGACAATGACAATGAAATTAGTATAAAAATTGTTAGACTGATTTTTCATAATATCAATGAAGTGGAATAAAGTCTTAAAGGATTGTAAGTATGCTTTATTTTATCATCTTGCACTTTCATGACTTGGCTGTGGTTTTCTACAGCAATTTGTTTAAATTTCTGACCAGTTGAACAGTTTGGTTTTATAAAACAAAATTGGTCAGAATTTTGTATAAGTCGCAATAGGTGGAGAGCAACACTTACAGTCAAGTCACAGTAATTTGTTATTATAAAAAACTGAACTTTTCCCATGAATGGTAAATTTTGCTGAAATAAATAATTAACTATTGGAAATAACAAACAGAAGATAATTTCAAAACTTAAAGTACAAATTCACTAGCTTTATTTGGAAAATACACACATACCTCAGAGAAAATGTCTGGATTACAACTGTAATATTCCTGACTGGGTATAGGCACTTTCAAAATTACACACATATTCATTTGTATATGCTCTTTCAATATTACACACATATTCCTTTGTATAGGCTCTTTCAATATTACACACATATTCATAAGTCACATAATTTCTTGTCATATCAAACTTAATACTTAATAAATCTGTAGACCTGTTTTCAAGAAATGGCATACTGTGGTTACCAATTTTCGTGTATTGATGAAAAAATATATTTTTGTTGATACTTGATTTGATGGTTAAGCCAAAGTTTCCTTATAATCCTATTAATAATCTACAACTTGTTGATCATTTAATGGTTAATCTATACCCACGAAATCCACAAAAATAGGTGTCCAATGTAAAATAACAAATCAACAGTCAAATGATAAAATGCATTTTTTTGCTAGATACTTCTATTCTATTCCATATATTTAAAGATCTGTTCCACAAAATTATTAATTGATTATATTGTATCCCTGGAAATATAAACACTTTATATATTTTGTATATTCAAATGCAGTTCAAAGTGTCCTCAGTGCATACAAAATATCATACAAATATGAAATACTGTCCAAGTATGTATACTGAAAAATAAGCATTGCAAATGGTGTCTTTTATTCATTATCAATTTCTGTCTCAACAAATAAATATTTGACAACCATGCTATGAAAGATACAAGGAACAACATCATCTTGCATGTGTATTGCCCTAAGAAAAACAAAGGCTGTACAGCAACTTACAGCTGTCAATTTTCTACATCATTTAGTCTCTGGTGGAAAGTTGTCTCATTGGCAATCATATCTTATTGCCTTATTTTTAAAAAGCTGGATTTCCTCTTTATATAATCTACTTATAGAACTAAAATATCACAACATCTTTGGTATAGCGTTCATTTTCTTTTTCATTTCTTCTGACATTATTTCATCTTCTTCTCTTTCCTTAAATCCTTCACTGTACTGGTGTTTTCCTAGGATTTCTAACATCGCTTTAGATTCTGTGTCTTGTAAAACACTTTTCTGTTTCTAAAATATAAGACTTCTGAAGTACATATCACAAATATTTCATACAGGGTCGTATAGTGTAAAGATGAGCAATGGATGTAAAAATGTATCCATCAAACAGTAAAGCATGCTCTTTTAAACTTGACACTAAATTTCAGGAAACTGTGATTTGCAGTTCCTGAGAAAATACAATATTTTATTGGATGAATGGACAGGGGTGACAGGGGTCATACAGTATACCCCTCATTTGGGTATAATTATCAAGAGGTGACCAACCATTACATGGAAACCAAGAATTTATTTATCAAGTGGTGACCAACCATAACATGGAAAACAAGAATTTATTTATGAAGTGGTGACCAACCATAACATGGAAACCAGGAATTTATTTATCAAGTGGTGACCAACCATAACATGGAAAACAAGAATTTATTTATCAAGAAGTGACCAACCATAACATGGAAACCAGGAATTTATTTATCAAGAAGTGACCAACCATAACATGGAAACCAGGAATTTATTTATCAAGTGGTGACCAACCATAACATGGAAAACAAGAATTTATTTATCAAGAAGTGACCAACCATAACATGGAAACCAGGAATTTATTTATCAAGTGGTGACCAACCATAACATGGAAAACAAGAATTTATTTATCAAGAAGTGACCAACCATAACATGGAAACCAGGAATTTATTTATCAAGAAGTGACCAACCATAACATGGAAACCAGGAATTTATTTATCAAGTGGTGACAAACCATATCATGGAAACCAAGAATTTATTTATCAAGTGGTGACCAACCATAACATGGAAACCAAGAATTTATTTATCAAGAGGTGACAAATCATTCCCAAAAATAAAGAGTATTTAATTTATCAGGAGATGTCCAAGGAAAACATGAATTTAATTTGGTGTCAGTTCATATAATATCAGTATTATGAATAACAAGGGTAAAACTTAATGTCCCCTCCGCTACAGCGGGGGCATAAAAATTATGCACTTTGAAAGTCAAACAAGCTTTTATGTTCCATGTCAAGCCATAAATTAATCAAAATCCACCCTGCCACAGCTTAGAATAAATCAAAATTCACCCTGCCAAGCCATAAAATAATGAAAAATAAAATGCACATCAATCTCTAAAGTTAGTTACAGTCCGTCATTAATACCTTATCCTTATCTTCATCATCACTGTCCTCAGACTTTGGTTCTGGACCAACTCCCCATACTTCTACCATTTCTACAGTGAATTCAGGAGATTTTGACAGCTGTGGGCTTCCATATGTTGTACATCTAGGCCCAGCTTTACTATGACCATGATTAAAACTGTGGTCAATCCAAAACCCGAAATAGTTGAACTGACCTCCCATACCCTGCAAAAAATAGGAAAATGTACTTCACAGAATTATCACTAAGGGACCTGGAATCTATTTCATGATTGAAAATGACAATTTTATTCCATGGTGTCTAAATTTATCAATGATCAATGGTAACCTGATTGTCTGATGAAATCGACAACTTGATGGTATTTACATGATTAGGATTACAGTGTAAAACTGCAATGTATAGATTCAATTTTCAAAAGGACGCAAAAATTCATACTAATTTAAAACAGTCTTGGTAAAAGAGACATTGTTCAGCTTATCTTTACAATGAACACAAAAAGGAGAAGTAAAAACCTGATAACTCTGTCTCTCCTTTATAGCATTTTATGTCAATAAGTTTACCCTGTGGTTTCTCACAGAGAATAACAGACCATATAATGATTTTAATGGATCATATAATGATTCATAAAGTTATCAGGACTTAAAAATCTAAATCTATATCTTGATCATATAAGTGGAAATGATTTTTGCAGCCTTTCTGAGTTCGACTGTTTGCTACCTACCAAACCATTGGGTAAAGTTTCTTGGCCTTGATTTAAATACATAAAGTTATCATTGTAACCTGTGGCTGTGTATACACCATACTGTGGAGCTATTGTAAACAGGAAACAGTCAGCAGATCCTGTAATCAGATAATAAGTTTATCTTGAAAAACACTTATCATACAGTGGATTCATTTATTTTCATGGATTGAAGGAAAAATTGTATTTTCATGGATATTAGATTTTGTGGTTTTGCCAAAGTCACCAAAAACCATTTAGTGTTTTGATTTTGTTCTTTTTAAATATTTCTAGAACTGTTTTTAAAGCTTCAGAGTTTAAAAGGCCCTTTACTATGGCAGTATAAATTTGTTACGTTTCAAAATGTGTATGGTTGAAGTCAGTTAGATGAAACAGTGGGGCTAATTATAGATTATGCAATAATTTATACAGAGATGTTTCAATGACAAGACAGGAATGACTGTCGGACTGACTGACGGATGGACAGACGGACAGATGGGTCAAAAGCATTATACCCTACGCAACTTTGTTGTGTTGGTTAAAATAATTTTATAAAGTCAACATATTTTAACTGCTCAAATTGAATGAATCCAGTAAAAATGATATTAGTACTTTTCATATCTAATGTTAAAAAGATACATACATATATTGGTACTATTAAGATTTTAAAATTTGTTAAATTTCTTTGGTTTAACATTATTGATCTAGGTTAATTGAGAGTTCAGCACTCATAAATATGTATAACCCTGTTTCATATTTAATGTTCCTGTCCAAAGTCAGGAGCCTGTATTTTAATGGTTGTCATTGTCTTAATTTGATATTTGTTTTTCGTTTTATGTTATTGACTTAAATAAGGCAATTATATTTACCTTTTCAAACATTCAAGCTTAACTTTCACGACTGATAAATTCTGATGAAAAAACTCACATTGTTTACCCATAACTATTAAATCCAAGTCACATTATTTGTGGAAATATAAAGATGTGTTTACACTCACCATAAAACTTTGGTCCTAACTCCCAGCCTTGACTGGAATATCCACCAAAAATATACCCGTCTTTGTCTTTAACAATTATAATAGAAGGTCCCTTGTTAACAATATGACCCACAAGTTGTGAAAAACTGTCACCATACAATGAATTACAAAACAAAAGTCTCCATTCAGATGTCAAATGTTTTGGTAAGTTATAATTATTAAGATAAACTAATGCATTTCTGTCTAGTATTGTTGATATTGGTAGAGTCTTGGAATTTGTTATCACTGGAATGTGTACAGATGAATGGAGAACATCTTTTCTGCTATTCTCCTGCAAAATTTGATAAAGCATGAAAAAAAGGCTTTGAATATCACACTACTACATTTACGTACTTGCAATACCTTCCCTATCCATTCTCTCTACATTTTCTTTATAAACCATTTTTTTTTATTATTATTGTAGTTTAAGTGCTTTAAATTTCTAAATGTTTGTTTTGATTTGTATGAAGTCTATTTTTTGTTGTCTTCTTTTCATTTTTAGGAAATATAAAATTTATTTTCTTATCAATAAGACTTACAAAGAGCTCATTAGGTTTGTCACAACCTGGTAAAGAGGAGGGTACATTTTGGGGCATATTAAGTAGGGTGCCCAGTCAACAAATTTGATCGATTTGGGTTAACGAAATAACACACGGCTATATTTTATATCACTGGAAAGAGGAGAACAAGCCTCGTAGAAATATTGATGTCATCATTGTCTACAGTGGTCATGATTTTCTTAAATTTGGGTCAAAGGTCAAATCTAAAATTTCAAGGAAAATGTAGAGTCATGTTTAGAAAGCTGGCCACCCCTACATATTTGCGTTTATAGCAAAATAAATATGAATAATTCAAATGATTATATCTATAGTTTCTATATTTAGGACTAATTTGATGTTTCTGTTGCCAAATATGGTTAGAGATTGACATTTGTACTTATAGGGTGCACATTTGCAATTTTCATTCAGCTGTTAAATAACAGTGACCTTGACCTTTTAAAAGTTCCAAAATCAGAATTTTTACATAAGATTCGATACAAGTGATCTTTAGAGATGTTTTTTAGATATTAACATTTATAAATTGTCCTCCCAAAATGTTATTTTTTCCGTCTTTTGATAGAAGGTGTTCGTCATGATTTTCTGGGTAAATATCCAATATTCTTTTGGTGAACGCGGAAGCACGTAAAAATAGTACTTAGTTCCAAAACTGATGAATATGAACGCAGAATTTATTGAGTTAGCAGGTCTGAGTATATATTTGCTTTACAGAAATAAAAAAAAAAAAACTGCAAATGGTGAAAAAGGGGGAGGGTTTATGTTACAAGTTATGAAAACAAAATGAGAATTAGAAACAGCAGGCTAATCACTCCATCTTACACACTTATATCAAGTGTAATGTACATGACTTATCGAACATAAATTGGCCTACACATGAAGTTAAAGATTATCTACAAAAAGAAAGTTTTGTACAGCATCGCTGTATTTTAGGGAGCTACCATTTGATTTTTATGGGGGGTTAAGATGAAATTTGAAAAAAAGGCAGGACAGGAGTTTTGAGTTAAAAAAAATAGGCAGGATGAGTATTTTGGCATAAAAAAAAAAAAGGATGACAATTTATGTAAAAAAAGTCAGGATAAACTAATAAAAAAAGGTAGGACCGACCAGAGTGAAAAATAAAAAGGCAGGACTGAGATTACAACTAAAAAAAAAGGCAGGACAAAATTTTTCATCCTAGCCCCCCCCCCCCCCCCCCCATAAAAATCAAATGGTGGCTCCCTTACAAACACTTGTAAACAACATCAATCTAATTAAAATATAGATCTCTGATTTCTTTATCTTTATTTGAGCTTATATATAAGAGCACACAAGTTAAAAAAGATCAGAATTTTAATAAGTGCGAAACAACATAGAAAAATTGCCGAAGCTAGTAGTAGCTATTACGTTTCATTGTCTACTGTTAAGTTGAAAGCCCACCGACTAGGTTTAGGTAAGAGAACTAATTTCAGTTGTTCTTTTTTAAATCGCATTTGGCGCAAGTAGCAGAATGCGAGGCATACAGAATACAATCTGATGGTGGTGGCGGCAAAAGTGTACAAAAGTGAAAATAAATTTTCGCACTGCCAGCCCTCTCCCTTTCTTCATAATATAAAATGTTCTACCCTAACGGCGAGTATTATTATATCGGTACTTTGTCTTTTTTGTCTTCATGTTAGTTGTTTTTGTGCTTCATGCTATTTTGACAAGTCAAGCCATTTCAAACTGTTTTTTCGGCAGATTTTTCTTATGCTGTGTTGTTATACCATTGTCCAGGTCAGGGGAGGGTTGAAGGATCACAAACATGTTTATCCCCTCCAAATTCTGTATATGTCTGTCCAAAATCAGGAGCCTGCAATTAAGTGGTTGTCGTTGGTTGCTGTCTGTTGTATCTGTGTTTTTTTTTGTTGCACGAACGGTGGTATATTTTTGTTGTCGTTCCCACCGACAGGGATTTAGGTCTAAAACATCATACAAGACTTTTGATGTGCCATATTTCGGGTGTGAAACAAAACTGACCGATTTGATTCTTATACTACAATTATAACAAAATATGCATTCAATAAAAAGTTTAAAGTTTTGAAAAACAGACACAAAACAGATTTCTCCAAACAAAGTGACAATCTACAAAGTTAGCTGGCTATTGACAACAAATAAATCAACCACACAACAAGCAAAAAAGACAAATGTTTTGAGTGACCTCTGTCCTTGTTAATGACCTAATAGTGTAAGCAACAAAATGATTCATGGCACGAGATAATCTATGTTTAATCAATACCAAAATGTTGACTTAATTTGTGTTTTTAATTGCTAATTTCTTCAAAACCATTTTTATTTCACGCATGCAATTTGGCACACACATGCACTGTGTCTTATTGCTTAAATCAGAGTAAAAAATATTGTGATGATACGTTCATTATCACTAGTATATATATTTGTTTAGGGGCCAGCTGAAGGACGCCTCCGGGTGCGGGAATTTCTCGCTGCATTGAAGACCTGTTGGTGACCTTCTGCTGTTGTCTGTTCTATGGTCGGGTTGTTGTCTCTTTGACACATTCCCCATTTCCATTCTCAATTTTACCTAATAATTTTGCTTTCGATGAAAATAGGGTAAATTTCTGGTAAAATTTTACTCTTACTAAAATGCTGAAATACTTGTATCAAAATCACATAAATACTTTCCCATTTCTTTATATGATATATTTAATATATAAACTATATTATAGGTACTGCTTTAATTACCAACAAAAAACACAATAATTCTATTTTTCATGTTAAAGATTTTCCTATAATGTGCAAAAAAATCAGCCATGTGTTATCTGTTAACTTAAACTCGTTAACTAGAGGACTTTTTGGACATTGGGCACCCTACTAATTTGGCCTTATAAATTCACAAAAAAAAAAAAAAATTGTATGACACTATATATTAATCATATTTTCTAATTTCAGTAGAAAGACTTTCAAAAAATGTTAATATAATCCAAGTTTAGTTATTACAATATGACTGGGACTTCATTAAAGTGACATCATAAGTGAGATTTTTCTGATATTTAGCAAAATAATATAATTTAAGGTTATTTTGACTAAAATAACATATTGCACAAGTGTTGCCCAAAACAATTTTTGCCACTGAATATAAATATACAAAAAAAGTAAAATCAAAAAAATACCAAACTCCGAGAAAAATTCAAAACGGAAAGTCCCTAATCTAATGGCAAAATCAAAAGCTCAAACACATCAAACGAATGGATAACAACTGTCATATTCCTGACTTGGTACAGGCATTTTCTAATGTAGAAAATGGTGGATTAAACCTGGTTTTATACAAAATACAATTACTGTGTAAATAACTTTTGGGGCAATGGCTGTTCTCTATATTATAGCTTTTACAATTTTTGCTTAACATAAAAGGGGAAACAACTCTATTTTAGATATAATGTGTTAATGCTATGTTCTTTCAGTACCAGTTTGTTTTTCGCTGTCTTTGAGTATGCCATGGATATAATAATAAAGATGTGATAAGGATAACTTTATATTAAAATCAAAGTAATATTTCAAAGCCAATGATAATGTTTTAGTATATGCCACCAAAATTAAGCTTTGTCATGAAAAATTGTCTTTCAAGGCGGCATGCATTTAAAACATTTCTTGAATTTTTTAAATACACAGTGAATTACTTAACAAGAGTGCACACGCTGAAATGTCTCGCCTTCTTCACTAACCATTGATTTTATGTTGATAGTCCTAAATATAAACCTTTACTACAAGTAACACATAAACTTAATATGATCCAAGAAAATGAGGTCAAGGTCAGATAAACCAAACGAGAAATACATGTACACCTTACAATCATTCAATTAACCAAACATAGTTGACCTATTGCTTATAGTTTCTAAGAAACAGTCTTAACCAAGAAAACTTAACATTGACCAATGAACCATGAAAATGAGGTCAAGGTCAGATGATACCTGCCAGACAGACATATACACCTTACAATCCTTCCGTGCAACAAATATAGTTGATCTTTTGCTTATAGTTGAAGAATAAAAGACCAAAACACAAAAACTTAACTCTGAGAAATGAACCGTGAAAATGAGATCAAGGTCAAATAAAACCTGCGAGACTGACATGTACATCATAAAATATTTCCATACACCAAATATAAATGACCTATTGCATATAGTATTAGAAAAAAAGACCAAAACTCAAAAACTTAACTTTGACCACTGAACCATGAAAATGAGGTCAAGGTCAGATGACACCTACCAGTTGGACATGTTCACCTTACAATCAGTACATATACCAAATATAGTAGACCTACTGCTTATAGTATCTGATATATGGACTTGACCACGAAAACTTAACCTTGTTCACTGATCCATGACATGAGGTCGAGGTCAAATGAAAATTGTCTGATGGGCATGAGGACCTTGCAAGGTACGCACATACTAAATATAGTTATCCTATTACTCATAATAAGAAAGAAATTAACATTACAAAAAATGTTGACTTTTTTTTCAAGAAGTCACTGAACCATGAAAATGAGGTCAAGGACAATGGACATATGACAGACGGAAACTTCGTAACATAAGGCATTCATATACAAAGTATGAAGCATCCAGGTCTTCTAGCTTCTAAAATATAAAGCTTTTAAATAGTAAGCTAACGTTGCCACCGCCGGCGGATCACTATCCCTATGTCGAGCCAATATATTAATCCTAAGCATGTGCAAGTTAATTTTACCTCATCCAAACAAAAATTGTTGATAAAAACCACATCTAATATCCAGATCATCATGGAAGTCTTTGTTAACCATTCTTCTATATCTATCACAGTATAACTTGTGTCTTTAGGAACACAAAGCGTAGGAACTGCTAACTTTTTACTTATTCCTAAAAAAAGCATACAGCTGTACTTTTAAAGTGATAATATGCATTTCTACATGAAAATGACATACATTTTTACTTACAATTGCATTATACTTCACCCTATTATATAATCATTTTGATGGTTTTCATCAATATTTGAAAGAGTACAAAGAACTGAAACATGTCTATATAAATCTTTGAATAACCATAACAAAAATTTTAACCATTCAATTATTCAAGCAATATATATATAGACCCTTTGGTAGACTCTGTCTAGTTTATTCTTGTCTAGACTACAGATGATTTAGAGCTTGACATATTGTAAAGACAATAGTCTATCATTGAAATGATCACCAAGAGAAATTTTGTTTTGTTTGACAGTGTTTCTTGGCTGCTGTCTAATTGATATATACAAGTACCCACCCATCATTATGTTGAATTCTAGATAACTTTCTGTTTTCTTACTTGCCAGGTTGGCGTCTCATTGATGCATACCCCACATCCCTTTTATTAATAAATAATTTTAGGTTACATTCATGATGACAAAATATTGTCAGATTTCAGAACATTTTTAACATTAATCAAATGTGAATTTGGATTGGCAATTTAAATTCCCATACCAAAAAAAGTACATGTATTTGCTTAAGATTGTATTTACTATTCAAAATCTCACCTTTGGCATAAAGTTCAAAAAACAAACTCAGAACAAATCTTTCTGTGCCCTGTTCTTTGTAATCTGTTGTCTGCCAATACTTCCATTGTGGTAAATCTTTTATTATATCCTTGAACCCTAACACAAACTCATAAACTGTCTGAAAGAAAAGAAATGTGTCATACAAAAATTAAATATGACAAAAAAAATTATAAAATTATATAAAAACTAGAAATTTTAAGAACATATGGTATTGACTTACAATGTTATAATATTAAAGAATACAAGATGGCAGCCCCATGTTCACACAGTTGGATGCTCAGTTTAAGTGTAAATTTACATTAAAACGTGTGTTTATGTTGTAAGTATTATTATCTGGGGTGTACCAAGTTAAATAAATTAACTTAACAAAATTTTACAATTAAAATGTTAATCTAATAATAAAGAGCTTACATTCTGATATTTTCTGTTTTTATCTCATTAACATTAAAATTCATTTTCTACCATTTAAAACATTAAAAACTAACCATTTCATAAGAATGATGAGCTACAAACATTGTAAAAGCAGGGGAAAATGGACAAAACATATATATGTACTATTGTAATTTGATGGACCTTTGTTGGAAACAGAATTTTTTATAAACGGGGGAAACTAAGTTCAGTTTCTGATGCTGTTATTGGTTAACTATCACCTTGTTTCCAAGGATGTGATAATCTTTTAGCACCAAACACCATGGTTGAGACAGTTCATGATTCTCAGACTCCATAGGAAGACAGTCCACAATTTTCAGATATCATAGGGTAAGACAGTACATGATTATCAGACACCATAGGGTAAGACAGTACACGATTCTCAGACTCCATAGGAAGACAGTCCACAATTCTCAGACACCATAAATTAACACAGTACACGATTATCAGACACCATAGGGTAAAACAGTACACGATTTTCAGACACCATAGGGTAAGACCGTCCACAATTCTCAGATATCATAGGGTAAGACAGTACACGATTTTCAGACACCATAGGGTGAGACAGTACACGATTATCAGACACCATAGGGTAAGACAGAACACATTTCTCAGATATCATAGGGTAAGACAGTACTCGATTTTCAGACATCACAGGATGAGGCAGTACACGATTATCAGACACCATAGGGTAAGACAGAACACAATTCTCAGATATCATAGGGTAAGACCATACACAGTTCTAAGACACCATAAGGAAAGACAGTACACAATTTTCAGATACCATAGGGTTAGACAGTACACAGTTCTCAGATACCATAAGTTAAGACAGTACACAGTTCTCAGATACCATAAGTTAAGACAGTACACAGTTCTCAGATACTATAGGGTAAGACAGTATGCTTTCTCAGACACCATAAGGTAAGACAGTACACGGTTCTCAGATACCATTAGGTAAGACTGTACACAGTTCTCAGAAACTATAGGGTTAAACAGTACACAATTCTCAGACACCATAAGGTAAGACAGTACACAATTTTCAGATACCATAGGGTTAGACAGTACACAGTTCTCAGATATCATAAGGTAAGACAGTACACAGTTCTCAGATACCATAAGGTAAGACAGTACACAGTTCTCAGATACCAAAAGGTAAGACAGTACTAAGTTCTCAGATACCATATATAGGGTAAGACAGTACACAATTCTCAGACATCATAGGGTAAGACAGTACAGTTCTCAGACACCATAGGGTAGGACAGTACACAGTTTTCAGACACCATAGGGTATGACAGTATACAATTCTCAGACACCATAGGGTAAGACAGTACACAATTCTCAGACACCATAGGGAAAGACAGTACACAATTCTCAAACACCATAGGGTAGGACAGTACACAGTTTTCAGACACCATAGGGTAGGACAGTACACAATTCTCAGACACCATTAGGTAAGACAGTACACAATTTTCAGATACCATAGGGTTAGACAGTACACAGTTCTCAGATATCATAAGGTAAGACAGTACACAGTTCTCAGATACCATAAGGTAAGACAGTACACAGTTCTTAGATACCATAAGTTAAGACAGTACACAGTTCTCAGATACTATAGGGTAAGACAGTACACATTTCTCAGACACCATAAGGTAAGACAGTATACAGTTCTCAGAAACCATAAGGTAAGACAGTACACAGTTCTCAGATTCCATAGGGTTAGACAGTACACAATTCTCAGACACCAAAAGGTAAGACAGTACTAAGTTCTCAGATACCATAGGGTAAGACAGTACACAATTCTCAGACACCATAGGGTAGGACAGTACACAGTTTTCAGACACCATAGGGGAGGACAGTACGCAATTCTCAGACACCATTAGGTAAGACAGTACACAATTTTCAGATACCATAGGGTTAGACAGTACACAGTTCTCAGATATCATAAGGTAAGACAGTACACAGTTCTCAGATACCATAAGGTAAGACAGTACACAGTTTTCAGAAACCATAAGGTAAGACAGAACACAGTTCTCAGATTCCATAGGGTTAGACAGTACACAATTCTCAGACACCAAAAGGTAAGACAGTACTAAGTTCTCAGATACTATAGGGTAAGACAGTACACAATTCTCAGACACCATAGGGTAAGACAGTACAGTTCTCAGACACCATAGGGTAGGACAGTACACAGTTTTGAGACACCATAGGGTATGACAGTATACAATTCTCAGACACCATAGGGTAAGACAGTACACAATTCTCAGACACCATAGGGAAAGACAGTACACAATTCTCAAACACCATAGGGTAGGACAGTACACAGTTTTCAGACACCATAGGGTAGGACAGTACACAATTCTCAGACACCATTAGGTAAGACAGTACACAATTCTCAGACACCATAGCTATAGGGTAGGACAGTACACAATTTTCAGGTACCATGAGGTAAGACAGTACATGATTCTCAGATACCATAGGGTAAGACAGTACACAATTTTCAGACATCATAGGGTAAGACAGTACACAATTCTCAGACACCAAAGGGTAAGACAGTACATGATTCTCAGACACAATAGGGTAAGACAGTCCACAATTCTCAGACACCATATAGGGTAGGACAGTACACAATTCCCAGACATCATAGGGTAAGACAGTACACAACTTTCAGACACTATAGGGTAGAACAGTACACAATTCTCAGACACCATAAGGTAAGACAGTACACAGTTTGCAGACACCATAGGGTAAGACAGTTAAAATCTGAAATAATTTTCATAATGTTCACTTGATTAAGCAAAAGTTTTTGTTTATTTTTCAATCCAAAAATAAGTAGGATTAATCTTGACATTACCTACCTGCTAATCTGAATAATTCAGTCCCTTCCAGTAATTGATCTCTCCTACTTGTTAATGTAGCCATCTTAGAACATCTGAATATAATAACTGAATTATTATTCAGGTTAGGCATGACCATAAACATCAACTTAAAAACATAACATCCAATGATGTAATCCCGTCTCATATGGATTAACAGATACCCAAGACTTATATTGTAAACCTACTTGATATAAATTCTGGGCATTAACTGTATCATCTTTGGGGCTGCTCAAGTTAAATAAAATGTTGGATTTATCTGTTACTGTACCCCTGACTGTGCTCTCCAGAAATACTTCAAAGGAAGAATGTGAAAAAGCTACATGTCCTTTGACTTTTTCTTTATGACTGTTCTTCAGATGTTCAAAAATTCTGTTAGTTAATGTTGCAGGAATGAATCTCAATGGTTTCTGAAAGGAAAATAAATAATTCAGTGACAGATGAGAAAAAAATCTTACTTGAAAAATTACTTAATTACTCTATGGTCAAGTAATAAGTGAATGATCTTTCATGTCAACAATAAATATACACTTTGTACAAACATTATAAAAAATATGGCTATGTAGTATGATTGTCAATGAGACAGCTATCCATGAAAGATCAAAGACAAGGTGGTTAATAACTACAGCTCATCATAAGGTCTTCTAAAATGAACAACACAATAAACTAAAAACAGTTATGATTGAGATTAATTGATTGATTGATTGGTGTTCAACACCACTTTCAGCACTATTGTGCTATTTCGTGGCAGTCAGTTTTTATTGGAGGAAGCTGGAGTGCCCAGAGAGAACTACCAACTTTCGGTAGGAAAATTGACATTCCTAGTCAATTACGATTGGAGTTGAGCGCACCTGCCATGTGTGGGATTCGAACTCACAACCTCAGTGTTGACAGGCTAGTGATACAGTAGTTGTACTACTTAGACCACTCGGCCACCGAGGCCCCTGATAGAGTATAAAAGTGTAAGGGTTGAGATTTTAAATAACTACATTTGTAGTTTAACCCCACAATATTTTTATGTGCCTTTCCCAAGTCAGGAACCTAATGTCAGTGGCTGTATTTTATCATACATGGGTATTCTAAATGTTTTTAATAATTTAAGGAATTTGGTATTCATGTTTCTCACTTAGAACTTTTGTAAGGGAGTCCATGCACTTGCTATTTTTGGCCATGGCGAGTCCAACAGTAAGAATAGGAAATGATATTGCTATTTAATTAAGTATATCTCTATATGTGTTGGAAGCCCTAGAGCATGTAGAGTAAAAGAAGGCCTAATTTATTATTCAAGTCTTGAAGACAAAACAGAGCAAGGAACAACATCATATTTAGATTAATTTTTAAACTCTTGCTATAAAATGATGAGATCTGGGCTGAGTTGATACAATATTTTACAATATTGATACTCACCTAAGTGAGAAGTACATTTTGTATTGGTGGTAGATTTTGGACAGTCTCTATTTAATTTATATTCAATTTTACTAGACTGGGATTGATTTAGAGTTTGACAAATTGGATAGACACTTGAAATTTTGTAAATAAACATGCAAACTGTAGCTTTGAACACGAATGTGATCAAAGATAATTCAGTTTTGATAATTTATAATGCAAGCAAAAAACGAAAGAAATCTACAGATAAATTGCTGCAGAATATCCTTCTGTTTGGTCCAAATTACTATCACATGACATTGACAATATGTTTGATTCACATCATTTCCGTTACCAAAACTAGACAAAGTGATGCCCCCGCACTCCACTCTGAAGTAATTCTATTATAACAAAGTCAATGTAGGACTTTCTTTGAGATATAATTGTGTCTGGGAGACACAAATGATGACCTCGCAGATGCATAGTGCTATTTTAAAATACACAAAGTTGAGCATGGGAGCACATAGGTCTATGGTTCACTGTAGGAGGAGTTATCCGGAAACGCTATGCACCTCTTACATGTCTTATGCAAGTATATACTCCAAAAATGACAAAGTTCAACAATCTCCCAAAAGAGCAAATATTAATAAAAAACCCTGATCACATGCACACCTTCAATATATGTATAAACAGCCAGCAAAGATAAAACTTCCTAGCATTCAAACTGTAGGAGGAGTTATGCGGAATAACTATAACGCTATGCACCTCTTATACTCCAAAAATGACACAAAGTTCAACTATCTCCCAAAAGAGCAAATATCAATAATAATCAAAACCCCGACCCCATGCACACCTTCAATATATGTACAAACAGTCAGCAAAGTGAAAACTTCCTAGCATTCAAACTGTAGGAGGAGTTATGTGGAATAGCTATATACCCATAGTGGGATGGACGGACAGACGGACAGACGGACAGGACGGGCGGACAGAAAGACCGACTGATGGACAGGGGTAAAACAATATGCCCCCCAACTTGTAGTTGCGAGGGCATAAAATCTCTTTTACCATTCACTGATTTCTGATGTCATATCTTATTACTATTGATGGGGAAATTGGATCTCTCTGCATCCATCTGAATTGTCTATTTGCCGGTTTGATCCCATTATTACACACTTTTAGATGGTTCCCTTTGCCAATTGCACACTAGTTCTAAAGTGGACAAAAAGAACTGCTGCCATGCAAAGCATGATAACTTTGAAGTGATATATCTATAGACGACATGTTCACCAATTTTTAATGATAAATAACCGCTGATATCAAAACTTTTTAGCTTAACAAAAGATTAAATGTAATTAAATATTTAAAAAAACTTAAAGATAACCCAAATTTAACAGAGACAAATTTTCTCTTTTTGCAAGCTCTTCAATGTCAATTATACAAATGAATGACCTTCCTAAGGGAAACAACTTGAACAAATAGATCTGTCATTACTGGGTCAATTCTGAAATTGGCCAAAAAACTTTACTTACGTAATCTGGTCAACCCTATACCTACATGACCTACAGAATTATATCAATTTAATCAATAAAATTGAGAATGGAAATGAGGAATGTGTCAAAGAGACAACAACCCGACCACAGAGCAGACAACAGCCGAAGGCCACCAATGGGTCTTCAATGCAGCGAGAAACTCCTGCACCCGGAGGCATCCTTCAGCTGGCCCCTAAACAAATATGTATACAAGTTCAGTGATAATGGACGTCATACTAAACTCCAAATTATACACAAGAAACTAAAATTTAAAATGATACAAGACTAGCAAAGGCCAGAGGCTCCTGACTTGGGACAGGCGCAAAAATGCGGCGGGGTTAAACATGTTTTTTGAGATCTCAACCCTCCCCCTATACCTCTAGCCAATGTAGAAAAAACAAACGTACAACAGTACGCACAGTAAAACTCAGTTTAAGAGAAGTCCGAGTCCGATGTTAGAATAGGAAACAAAAGAAAATAAACAAAATGACAATAATACATAAATAACATTAACAACAGACTACTAGCAGTTACTGACATGCCAGCTCCAGACCTCAATTAAACTGATTGAAAGATTATGTCTTCATCATATGAATATCAGGCACAATCCCTCCTGTTGGGGTCTAGCATCACACATCACAAAATATATGAGAAGAACACAACCTGTGTCATGCCAACAACTGGCCTTAGCTTAGAATAAATATGTCCAATTCTGATGCAAAGGCCCCACAAGTACACATTTATCTGTGTTGCTGTATGGGAACTATATGTATATGTCAGTGGCGGATCCAGATATTTTCATAAGGGTTGGGCCGCTCCAGTCATGCTTCAGTGATTCCCTATATAATCAACAAAATTTTTCCCACAAAAGGGGGGGGGGGGGTGTGCCCGGGCCCCTGAAAAACCCTCTTAATCTGCCTCTGTACATGCTGTATGTACCCCAAATAAGATCATGAAGATATTCATCCCTTTCCTCAAAGTTCAATGTCACTCGTTAATTGCTTGTCACTTTTATAAAATTTTAGATGTCTGATAGTCACATTCCTGCTTTCTTCCCAGATTTTCTTAAATTCTGGTCATGGTTTGTTCAGTTTAGTGAAATAATTATATATCTAGTTGATGGACATCAAGAAATGTCAGCTTGTCAAGAGTTATCTTAAGTCAGACTTAAAAACCTGGGTTTACAACCTTAATTTTTTAGTTGACGATACAAAATCTTCAAACTGGTGCTTTTTCACAGAAAAATTTGTCGTTACAATGCAAATATCTTCATGTCACAAATTATGTCCTGTGACTCATTTTCCCCCCAAGATCAACTGGGGTAGTTCATTCATAAATTTGAGATTGGAAACTCATCTTTTCTTGATGTCCACTTCCCAAGAAAGTCGTAATTGCATATAATGCTGTGATCTGGTGATTTTAAACAGAGAAAAGTATTTGAGTGAACAATGTTATAATTGTATTACTAGTCATTGCATTGTCATATGATTGTAAATCAGGATACAGTCTATTTTACTCATCTAAATCTATTCACGTAACAGTTTACCTGACTAACTAATAAATCGTAGTATTGTTTAACATATGATTGTTCAGTCTCGTTAAAAATTCTTCTCTCTGCTTTGCTTTCTCCACCACCCATAACTTATAATATACTATAAGGAAAAACTCACAGGATTCCGAAAAAATAATAACATGACCTTCAATTTGGAAGGCCGTTTAATGACATTCGGAATATCCCTCTGCCATTTTCAAACATTCCGCATGGTGACAAGCTCTACTAGAACGAAAATATAGCTTTTCCTGAACGAGGTATAATTCAGACAACATAATAAAATGTCTGTTCCACCTGAAAAAATCGCAGAATTAAAGCAAATTATCCATGGACAATTGTCTCAGGTAAATATATACATAAAGGAGAACAAGCAACAGAATAAAACTTAAAACGTGCTGATACATGTAAATTTTATAAATGTTTATATCTTGTTTTCATTATAATTGTATTAAGCAACTCGAAATACAAATAGAAGCATATCTCGTGAAACGAAAACTATTTGTGCATGCACAGTACATTTTTGTATTTTACTCTTACAATGGCTTTAATTTGTTTCTACACCAAATTCATCATTCTCATATTTTTTATTTATTTTGTATGGTAGTGGCTGCTTAGCAGGAATCCTGTTTTTTTTTTTTTTCTGATTCCCGTTTGCATCCAGAGTTGTTTCACTGTTTCCCTCATTTTTTATTGAATGTAAAGATTTTTTATTCTAAAGCATGCCCTGTAAATAGTACAGTAGTGTCCGGTAATTCCGCGCGTCCGGTAAACCCGCCCACTCCCATTACTTACGTAATTGTCACTTCTGTGAATATTTCGTCTGCTATTTTATTCATAGTAACTGTACTTATCATCACTGCATGGCAAATTTTAAAGAAAAACACTTTATTACGAAAATATTTAGTGATATATATAATACAGTTCCTGAAGTATAATATTACGATAATCATCTATTGGAGGAAGATATAGAGGAAAGAAGAAGTCAGTTCACCCAGATTCCAGTTCTTGAAAAGTTTTGGTTTGACAAATGAAAAATTAGTTATGAGGTCTTGAAATATAAAAATCAGAAGGTGTAGTATAATTGCCAAAGTGACTACTCTCCATCAGAGTTCAAATGACATAAAAGTTAACAACTATAGGTCACTGTACCGCCTTCAAAGCTATTTTATTTTTTGCTGTGATGCCTTCCTACAACGTCATAATGCAGGCCATTTTTTTGGCTGGACTTTCAGTAAGAATTTTCTTCTCAGTCAGGTTCAGTTTATATTGTCAGGAAATTCTGGTCGGCATATCACACTCTGCACCATTAGCCGCTAGTCCGATGCCCTAGATTACATTTTTGTAGTAACATTTTATTCCGATTAGTAAATATTTGCAAAACTTTGTTTAAACACTTATAAGAAAAGTGTCGGATTATTGGTCTTCAAACTAGTAGTTGGAAAAGTTTTGGTGCAGACTGATAACAACAACATCATGGCCTCTTGGTCTATACAAATTTCATTTCTCAATCAAACCTAGCATAAAGAGGAGAAATGATGATAGAATGAGTGAGACAGATGTTGAATTAGGTTATAAGCAGACTGAGAGTGCTAAGAGAGAGGATATAGAATGCCAGAGTGACCATGAGATCAGAGAAAGAGGAAGAGAGTGATATAGATGGATAAATGAGATCTGCAGATAGTGAAATAGAGTCGTTGTCCTTATTAGTGACAAGAAGAAAGTTTAGTGTAAAGAAAGTTTACATACTATTAAAACAAATAAATTTGTTTAAAGAAAATCATTATGTTGCAGTTTATTAACAAATATCACCAGTGACCAAAAGTCAAGCATGTAAACACTGCAGCATGTAACAAAGGGAAAACCTGTACAATACATGTAGTACCACCTCTGTGGTCTTGTGGTTGTGTGCTTGCTACGAGTTCAGGAGATCAAGGATTTCAATTTAGCATTTAGGAGTAAGAGTAAAGACAGGTTGGCTTGGAGTCGGAATAATGTGTCCAGTAGGGTGACATGTATTCCTTCAGACTGTGGACTAGCACAGTGTTAAAAATACGGCTTAGCATATTAGTCTAGTACAACGCAGGGTTTATATTCATATCAAATAATCATGTTCTTGTTCAGTATATGCTTTTAATTTGCTACATGTACTCTTCCATACTGTACCGTATAAGAATAAGCTATAAATATGATAAAAACTCTGGTATGACAAAATGTTGACCTAGATGGATCTTTGATTTCTTCAATTGTTGAGTTGCTGTTTCAGTGACAAATATGCTAAATCTGCCTGGTATTATTCATATTATTTCCTGTATTTCCTTGTTATATAATTTGTTGACAGATTGGCATGCAGAGTCGTATTCGTGATGTTATGAGTGAGGTTATCACAGAAGATTACAGTAATGGACAGGTGTCTGAACAAGAAATTATGCAGAAGTTAAAAGAACGAGGTTTGGTGGATGATTTAATGCAGAATTTACAGTTTCAAAGTCAAGGAGATGGACAAAGTCTGAGACGTCCAGCAACACATTTCCTTGACCAAGATGACAAGGTCACCAATCTTCCAGTCAAAAGAGGTATGAGAATATAAGAATAAATCAAAATAATTCTAATTAGAATATTTTTTAAATATTGACATGTTCAGCATTTGAAATAATATATATATATATATATAGCTTATATGTTATTGTATTGTCAGTAAATGTTGTTATGGTTGTTGATTTATGTCAGTTGTTGAAGGCTGTCTATTTTTGTTGTCCTTAGATTTATCTGGCTGTCTTGTCTTAGCTTAAGGTTTATATATTGTGTTAATAAGACTGGTAATTGTTGAATTCAGTAACACTATATATATATATAGCTAGTTTATCTTTAACTATAAAATAAAAAATGGGTTACAATTGCCAATGAGACACCTATCCACCAGAGTCAAAATGAGTCTTTGAGTACATTTCTTATCAACTGTGAAACTTCGAAACTTTTAATATTCCTTTGTTTAATAGGGTTAAGATTGCACGATACTACTTATGTGACATACAATTTTATAATTTAGTTTTAAGGATGCATCTGTGGAGGTATAGCAGCATCATACTAAAACTAAAACAGGTACTTTGACCTATGTTTTAAGTTTTACCGACAATACATGTAAGCAATAGTTCCAGTTCTAATCTCAGATACTTAAAAAACCAAGAGTCATATCTTAGTGTAAGCTACACACACAACGTATTTCACTTTGAGTTACATTTATGCTTTACTGACTTACATTAAGTTTACATTAATTAGAGTTCAGATACTAGGTGACCTACAATCATACAACTTTGTGAAAGGTTATATAATAGGGGTATATAGCAGCATCTTCATAGAATTCTAACTGGAAGGTTTGGAATTAAATGCTAGAAGTTATAACAAACAAAAAGGGATTCAGTATTGGAAGGTTGGACAATTTATTGGCATTTTTTTTTCATTTTTTTTTCATTTAAGATTTGCAGTATCTCAAACAATTCAAGTAGGGGGTTAAAAAGAAGGTCATTCAGAAAACTAAAAACACAACAGTTTATTTGACCCTGTGAAAGGTTTGAACTACTCCAGATATATAGTTCTGCAGTATTTACTGCATATGATTATGAAAAAATATATTTGAGTAATAATTTTACACATACTTTTAAGCTGTTTCATGAATCGAAATGAAATGATTGATAGAAAATTTCTTTTTGTGTTTTTTATTATAATTAAATATATTTATTTTCTATTTTAAATTTAGCCAACATTGATCCTACACGAAGATACTTATACTTCAATATAAAGAATGGTAAAGCATTCCTGGAACACATTGAGAACTCTGACCCGATGCCAGGGCAAGTCAGTTCATATTTCACCTTCCACATACATTTCCGTGGACAAAGGTTCAAATCTCGACCAGTTCCATGTGCCTGTGAACCAGATGTTGATGAAGGGTTTCTGTTAGAAGTTCATAAAGAGTCGTCAGGTAAATTCAGGTTTTATTTACCCAAACTGGCCATTGTAATTCATGTAGAACAAAATTTGAATAATTGTTATTACATAATGAAGTATTAATGCATTTATGATGACTCTTCATGTGATCAATTTCAGAATTTTCAGTTAGTGTTTAATTGGTCCCACTTTCACTAAGAACAGTTTTTAATTAGATACATTTTTGTCTCGCCTTGACTGAGTCAAAAAGCGAGACAAAGGTATGCTGTTTCTGGCGTCTGCGGCGATGGTGGCGACGGCGGCGTCAACAATGTATTAGTTTGTGATTAGGTCTAGTTCATGGTGAACCACTAGTGATAGGTCAATGATATTTGGTATGCAGTTGTATTAGCATTGGCACATCTCATTACCATGGAGATTATTTGGCCCCGCCCCCTCAGTCAAGGTCTATTGACTTTTAAACTTTGCTTAGTTTACATGTATTAGTTTGTGATTATGTCAGTTTATGGGGAACCACTAGTGATAGGTCAATGATATTTGGTATGCAGTTGTATGAGCATTGGCACATCTCATTACCATGGAGATTATTTGGCCCTGCCCCCTCAGTCAAGGTCTATTGACTTTAAAAACTTTGCTTAGTTTACATGTATTAGTTTGTGATTAGGTCAGTTTATGGGGAACCACTAGTGGTAGGTCAATGATAATTGGTATGCAGTTGTATGAGCATTGACATATCTCATTTCCATGGAGGTTATTTTGCCCCGCCCCCTCATTCATGGTCGATTGACTTTGAAACTTTTGCTTAGTTTTCATGTATTAGTTTGTGTGATTAGTTCAGTTTAAGGGGAACTGTTAGTGGAAGGTCAATGATAATTGGTATGCAGTTGTATATAAAGCATTAGCACATCTCATTTCCATGGAGAATATTTGGTCCTTACCCCTCAGTCATGGTTTATTGACTTTGAAACTTTTGCTTAGCTTACATGTATTAGTTTGTGATTAAGTCAGTTTAAGATGAACCACTAATGTTTAGTCAATGATATTCAGTATGCAACAGTTTATTATTTTATTAACAATCATATTTGTTTTAAAACTCCTCTCTAAAGTATACCACTGGTGATTTAATATAATTCTAGTAAGATGAAAATTAAACGAGTAGGGGCTATATTTCATTCACCTTGTCTGTTGTTTTGTTAGTTCATTCATCCTACAAATACTTCAGTCAAACTTCTCTAATGTACTACTAAACATAATAACTTCATATTTGGTGAGTAGCTTGACAATGATGAGTTGGAACATGTAACCACTTTTCAGGTCAGTCAAACACCTACTTCCTGTTTGCCAATACTTTGAAATTTTCAATATGTTGAATGAACTTAATATTTTTCGTCAAACTCATATTATGAACAGCTTGACAATGATGAGTTATAAAGTGTGATCACTTGTGAAATATGTCTGACACCTACCTCCTGTTTGCCAATACTTTGAAATTTTCCACATAGAAAAAAACCACAGATTGAAAAAAAAAATATTATCTTCTGAATTAATCTACTTTTTAGTTGTTTGACCTAAATAGAAAGTAAAGAATTTCTTGGATTTTCAAAAATCAACATTTTAATAACCATAATCCAATTTTCTGTAACCTAGGATTTTAAAGCTGAAAAAAATTATTATTTTTTATGAAGATGGGAGATTCTTTAAATTACAATTGTTTAATATACTTAAAGCAATTATCATGTCCTTCCCCGGTTCCTTCAACATCATGGTATTCTGATGCTATATTGCTTGAATGTGATGCTTTTGGAAATTATTTCTTATAAATTGTATTATGGATGTAACGCTATCATTTATAGAAACATGTTGATATTTCAGTCTTTTTTACCAGGATGCAATATGAAATTTGTATAAAGAACACTGATCATGTTATTTACTGAAAATTATTACAAAGAGAATTGATTTCTTGTTATCTGTCATTCTTAGGTGAAGCTGCTAAAATGGTTGATGAATCTGGGATGTTATCCATCTGTGACAAGCTACATATAGCCTTGATAAAAACAGATGTAACAGGGGAGACAACTCTGGTGTCATCACATTTCCTAGAATGGAGACCTGTTTTAACTGCCAAAACTGGGAGATTTCAGACATCCATAGAACTGAAAGGAACAGGTTAGAAAAAACTTAATTGTTGTTTTGTCTTGCCTTAGAGACATAGGGATTCTAATACGGCAACAACTTTGTATAAAACTTCAAATTTCAGAAGGTACATAATCCCTGTCTGTTATACAGATGCTTTATTGTCTGAGGTTTCTGTCGTATGTCCATTGCCGTTGATCTCATTTTCCAGGTTAAATGACCACTTGAGAAAAGGATATTTTGTTTATCAATAGATTTTTTTGGATGATTTTGTATTATTGGACAACTGTATTTTGGTATATAGATTCATTACATGGTATGTATGTCAATCAGACAGAGTTCACCAGATCTTACCTTATTTCATAGTTCAGTGATCAACCTTAAATTTACATGATAAGTAAAATTGAGAATGGAAATGGGGAATGTGTCAAAGAGACAACAACAGCCCAAGGCCACCAATGGGTCTTCAACACAGCGAGAAAATCCCGAACCCGGAGGCAGGCTTCAGCTGGCCCCTAAACAAAAATGTGTAATAGTTCAATGAAAATGGATGTCACACTAAACTCCAAAACATATAAATTAACTAAAATTAAAAAACATACAAGACAAACAAAGGCCAGAGCGTATAAGATGTCTGCATGTTGATTTATATTTACGAATGATGTCCTTGTACTGATGATAAAATTTAGTAAATGTTTTGACTAGTTTGTGATATCGAAAACCCTGGTGTAATCATTTTTCAGTAATACAGAGGTTTCTATCGTTAAAATCAAATACGTTGTTACATACACGAGCGAGTCGAGCAAGTTGAGATATATAAACACCATAAGTTGGTGACAAGGGAATGTCACCATCTAAAAATGGATAATTAACAATAGGAAATGAAAAAATCATCTCTTTTATCATAAATTTTGGTATTAAGCTTCCCATTAAAGATATAGATATCAAGGTCCATTTCTCAGATGATATAAAAAGTAGGTCAACTATATTCAATATAACTGTGACCTCATTTCAAGATTCATTGGTCATTGTTAAGTTTTCATGATTAAATCCGTTTCTCAGACACTATAAGTATTATGTCAACTATATCAGTGTATATCAGATGTATAAAATGATTGTAAGGTGTGCATCATCAGAGGGGGCATTAAGTTTTACCCTTGTCCGTCTGTACGTACGTACGTACGTACGTCCGTCCGTCCATATGTCCCAAAGTTGGTTTCCGTTCTCAAACTTTAGTTTGCCTCAACCAAATGCTATGAAACTTATACACAATGCTTATTACCACAAAATACAGATCAAGTTTGAATTATGGTGGTGTCACTTTAACTGTTCCAGATTTATGCCCCTTTACAAATGGAAAAATTGATGAATTTTTCGTTTCCGTTCTCTAACTTTAGTTTTTCCTCAAACAAATGCTATGAAACTTATACACAATGCTTAAAACCACAAAATACAGATCAAGTTTGAATTTTTGGTGGTGTCACTTTAACCGTTCTAGAGTTATGCCTCTTTACAAGGGGAAAAATTGTTGAATTTTTCATTTCTGTTTTCTAACTTTAGTTTGCCTCAACCAAATGCAATGAAACTTATACAAAATGCTTATTACCACAAAATACAGATCAAGTTTGAATTATGGTGGTATCACTCTAACTGTTCTAGAGTTATGCCCCTTTACAAATGGATAAATTGCCGAATTTTTCGTTTCCGTTCTATAACTTAAGTTTGCCTCAACCAAATTTTATGAAACTTATACACAATACTTATTACCACAAAACTCAGATCAAGTTAAAATTTGGGTAGGGTCACTTTTAGCGTTCTTCAGTTATGTCTGTTTATAATTTTATATGATATGCAAGCGGGGGCATCATCTGTGTCCCATGGACACATTCCACATTTATTTTTTATTAGGTCTGTTTTTTAGATTCAATAAGTAACAGGTCAACTTTATTGGACATATTTACTGATTGTAAGGTCTAACACTGTTCATCTGACCTTGACCTCAAGTTCATGGTAGAATATGTGCAACATAGGGGACATTGGAACTCTGTTCTTTAATTCAGCATTCATGTGAAACAGACAAAAATAATCCTGTGTTAGTAATATGATGATGATGGATGGCTGCTTAATGTCCAGCAGCAAATTAATATGCATATTCAGGACGTGAAGATTGTTAATTTAATATGAATATTGTTAACTCTGTTTTGAACTAGACCAACACGCTGAGCTGGATTTTAAACGTGCTAGTTCACAAGGTAACAGTCTGTAGGAAGACATGTCACCTTCCCGGACACATTATTCTTGACTAAGAGACAACCAGTATTTGCTCTTACTCTTTAATGCTGCGTGCTTAGCGGAGAAGCAGCAAATACCAATTTGAAAGTATTTGGTTTGACCCTGCCCGGATTCAAACCCATGATCTCCTACACTTGAGGCATAGACACTACCACGAGACCACCGAAGCAGTCATGTTACTAATAAGCATAGCATATCTTCATGAAAATGGTTGCCACAAACACCCCAGTAAATTTAAGGAGTTATGTCCCTTATATCCATTAGCTTGTAACCAAAATTTACTTGAAAATATTATCAATCATAGAATATTAATTCTGCTTGCATATGCAGTATACTATTAAACTTAGGAAAAAATGAACCCATGTTTGTTTGGGCAGTTACCTTAAATCATAACCATGTTTGGGCAGTTACCCTAAATCATTACCAAGTTTGGGCAGTTACCCTAAATCATTACCATGTTTGGGCAGTTACCCTAAATCATTACCATGTTTGGGTAGTTACCCTAAATCATTACCATGTTTGTGCAGTTACCCTAAATCATTACCATGTTTGGGCAGTTACCCTAAATCATTACCATGTTTTGGCAGGTACCCTAAATCATTACCATGTTTTGAATAAAAGATGGCAGCCAACAAATCTTCTGACTACAGTGTATATTTCACCTATTATAAAAATTAAAGGTACCTGTATTTCGAAACAAACAACATTTCATTTTTTCAATTTGGTTTGTTCTTTATGCTCAATATCAAGCTTTGATGAAAGTATTATATGAACATTTATAAACCAACCAACTAATTATCAATAGTACGTTTTGAAGAATTATAATTTTGTGATGAATGAATGTGATAACTGCTGAATCAGCATTTGAAAGTTTGTCACCTGGCCTTCCTTTGTCTCAATCAAAATTCAAGATTTTTATTGACCAATCATGGACCCTCAAGGGGCATTTACTCAAAATATAATAACTTCACAATGATTTTAGCATAACAAATTATAAAAGATACATTGGTGGTGCACAAATAATAATACAAATAAGCAAACAATATATTGTATGATATTTATCATGCAAATAGAATTATTTGCTTCCTATTCTAGAATAAAATTTTAAAAGCGTGTTGAAAAAAGCATTTATTTAAAATAAGTAGTAAAGGTAGCATAAATTTGCAATAACAAATAAATGAATGGTTTAAAAGTTATTTTAATATTATTTTTTTCCTAAGGCGATGAGAGTAAGATTCCAGCTGGTGTAATAGAAATCCAGTTAGAGTTGTTTCCTAAACCAGTAAAGATCATTGGCCAGGAAGTACTGACTACACAGCTCAATATGGAACGTAACCGACAGTCAGAGAAAGAGAGACTGTTCCTTGTCTATGCTAAACAATGGTGGAAGGAATATTTACAGATAAGACCAGCAAATCAGGAACGTCTAGTCAAAATATTTGCTCAGGTAGTTATAACTTGAATCTTTCATGCTGCATTTTGATCACAAGTATATGATTTTATGCCTGGTAAAATTAATGGTGTCTTTATTATGTTAATTACAGTCAGAATGTAGTCTTGCTGTATTAAAAGAAATTGCTGATATTCCTAATTTAATGTTTTTATAGCTATGAATCATCACCAGGAGCTGTTAATTATGTGTTTTGGCATATATCCTATATTTTATATGCTACATATTTTTTTCCGCTGATTCACATAATTAACACAGCTTCCAATAACAAACCTTCCATTTGGAGCTACTGTGTTTAGAGACCTCTGTTATTGGTATATCATTACTATATTACTCTTCATGTTTTAGGGGATTATGGCAAAATGACAGAAACATTAAATTTCCAGCTTTAATTATGTTAATAATTAGGGTGTTAATAAAAAGAAATAAGAAATATGGAGTCAGCATGTTACAATAACACTGGAATATGTTGTTCAATTGTAACCCTTTTCTCTAAAATGTTATCCTATGAAACCACACAGTCCTCAATTATATCAAAAGTATTTAAATACACCATCCAAAATTCCTCTATACAGTACACAGGCCTAGTTTAAGTCCCATTAATAGCCACTTTAGTCATTTAAATTTTACAGATTTCATCTTTCAATATCACTTTCATAAATTCATTTGGTTAATTGCAATCAATATATTATTTGCTTATTAGATGTGTATTTTGTACTATTTATTTGTACAATTTTTGTCAGGATGAGAATTCAGTGACCCGTCCAGTTTGTTCTTTTGTTAAACCATTACGTGCTGGAAGGTTGTTAGATTCTGCTCGACATGCTGCCAGATTTGTCAGTCTAATGCATCATAAAAAAATGGAGTCAGTGGGAGGAGGTAATAAACTAGAACAATGGACAACACTACATGGATTTTTATGTCGCAATAGAGGGGTATGTATTCATATTACATGTAAGAAATGTTAAATGATCTTTTTGGTATGAATGCACCAGAAAATACATACGTATGATGTTTTAAACTATGATGACTTTTACTGGTTAGCAAGTTTTCTGTTTAATACGGTTTATTATCTTATCATACATGCATCTTAAATACAGTTTTGTGTTCAATTGTTGATGTTATTTTCAAAAATCTTTCATAAATATTTAATTTAAAATAGATATGGAAGTTCTTTAATATTCAGAACAAAAGTCAATTAACAAGAAAAACTGTGATTGAAAATTTAATATTAACTGGTTCATAATTGGCATGCTATTGTCAATTAGTTCTTATGAATATATACATGATATATGAAAGAATACAAAATTGATTTGTTGAATTTATGCCCCCGCCGAAACCGAGGGGGCATTAAGTTTTACCCTTGTCTGTCTGTCCATACGTCCGTACGTCCCAAAATTGGTTTCCATTCTCTAACTTAAGTTTGCCTCAACCAAATGTTATCAAACTTATACACAATGCTTATTACCACAAAACACAGATCAAGTTTGAATTTTGGTGGTGTCACTTTAACCGTTCTAGAGTTATGCCCCTTTATAAATGGAAAAATTGCAAAATTTTTCATTTCCTTTCTCTAACTTAAGTTTGCCTCAACCAAATGTTATGAAACTTATACACAATGCTTATTACCACAATACACAGATCAAGTTTGAATTTTGGTGGCATCACTTTTACTGTTCTAGAGTAATGCCCCTTTTCAAATGGAAAAATTGCTAAATTTTTCATTTTTTTTCTAAAAATATAAATGATGTCATTGTTCAAGTAATTTTTAAAATTGGAGTTATCTTCCTTTGTCCATGATTATAGTTGAATCAACTACAATCAATGCTTTATGCAATGCAACGTTTAATTTTGCCTTCCACTGATAAAACGCAGATCAAGTTGAATTTGGGTAGTGTCACTTTAACCATTATTGAGTTATGCCCCTTTATAAATCGAAAAATTGCAAAATTTTTAGTTTCTGTTCTGTAACTTAAGTTTGCCCCAACCAAACATGAAACCTATACACAATACTTATTACCACAAAACTAAAATCAAGTACAAATTTGGATAGCATCACTTTTATTGTTTTTGAGTTATGTCCCTTTATAATGTTGTATGCAAGCGGGGGCATCATCTGTGTCCATGGGGACACATTCTCCATTTAGGCCACACCAATTTGATAAATAGTTCTTTGGATTTTCCCGCTCCTGTTTTGGAGAAATTGACTTTTCAATGAAAAAAAATAATTACCGCTTCCGCAAATTTGTGGGCCGCATGCCCCTCCAAATTTTGTTTCTCCTTGGATTTTTTTTTTTTTTCACATAGACGTTTTTCTTGTGCATATATTGCTCCATTCGATTCAAACGCACGTGTGATAAATCGAATTGTAAATAAAAGGTCAAAAATCGGGATGCCAACATGTAGTTGTGTCAGCTCATTGCCGTGGACAAATAGTTACTGAACACACAGTTATCCGAAATGCATCTTGTTTTATCTACGAAGACCTGTTCTAGGAGACAAATCTTTTGTAAGGGAAAATTTAAGAGTTCCAACGTTCGAGACCAAAGTGATGGTATTGTGATTGGCATGCTCATAACAATTAAGGATGTGTAATTGGTTCAACCACTTCTAGTCAAGTTTAAGAGTTTAAAATGCATTGCAGCTTTTAGGAGTAAAAGGAAAGAGTATTTTGCTGTCAGAATAATGCATGTGAATGTTGTGACATGTATTTTAAGGGAATAAATTAATACATTGAGATCTACATGCATAGCAATATAACTATCTTACTCATGATGTTGTTGAAATATTCACCTCACTCATTATGTTGAATGTTGATCCTTTTTATGGATAAATAGTTTCAAAGTGGACATCAAGTAGCCAATAAACAATCATTACCATATATTGATATAATGAAAACAACTATATAAAAAAATATTTAATATTTTGCAGGGGCATTTTTTTGGATACATACACATATTTAAATTTTTTTCAACATATGTCATTTACCTAACTAACACAATTCCTCTTGTTAAACTGCATCTGCTATGCTTCCTTAATATATACACATGTATGAATTTTAATGAAAATTTACACAGACAAAGCTTATTTGATGAAAATAATCAAAATTAACTAAACCCCAGCTAGACAAGAAAGTTGGGTATGGTTCATGCGCCAATCCATCAAATTATATGCATTAGAGCATGTTTCTTCTTCTTTTTGTATGAAGTAACCTAGTTATACGACCGCAAAAAAATTTTGAGGTCGTATATTGGTATGACGTTGGCGTCGTCGTCGTCGTCATCCGAAGACACATTGGTTTTCGCAATCTAACTTTAGTTTAAGTGAATGGATCTCTATGAAATTTTACCATAAGGTTCAATACCACAAAAGAAAGGTGGGGATTGATTTTGGGGGTTATGGTACCAACAGTTAAGGAATTAGGGGCCAAAAAGCGGCCAAAAATAAGCATTTTTGTAACTTCCAGACATAACTTGTGTGTTAGTGTATGGATCTCTCTGAAATTGTACCACAAGGTTCCATATCACAAAGGGAATGCAGGGATTGATTTTGGGGGTAATTGCCTCCAAATTGTAGAAATGAGGGGCAAAAAAGGGGCAAAAAACAAGCATTTTTCTAGTTTCATGACAATAACTTGTGTGTAAGTGTATGGATCTCTCTGACATTGTACTACAAGGTTCCATATCACAAAGGGAATGCTGGGATTGATTTTGGGGGTAATTGCCTCCAAATTTTAGGAATAAGGGGCCAAAAAGGGGCAAAAAATAAGCATTTTTCTAGTTTCGTGACAATAACTTGTGTTCAAGTGTATGGATCTTTATGAAATTGTACTACAAGGTTCCATATCACAAAAGAAAAGCTGGAATTGAAAAATGTTAAGTTCTTAGACCACATTCATTCTGTGTCAGAAACCTATGCTGTGTCAAATATTTAATTACAATCCAAATTCCGTGCTGTATCAAGCTTGAATGTTGTGTCCATACTTGCCCCAACTGTTCAGGGTTTGACCTCTGCGGTCGTATCAAGCTGCGCCCCAGCGGAGCATTTTATTTTAACATGTACATAAATTCTAAATCGCACAATTTAAAAAAATGTTAAACCGCTCGGTTTACTTGTAGAGCACCCGCCTCATAAAAACTCATTTTCAAGAAAAAAATACAATCAAAAAAATTTCGCTCGCTCGCCCCATATTTTTTGGAGCTTTTGTCCGAAGAACTACAAATCAAATTGGTGTGGCCTTATTTATATATCATATAACATTGAAGACAATACCAATACTACTATACAGTCTGACATTAAATTTTATTTCAGATGGATTTGTTAATGCTAGGGACTAATTACAGATGCTGTTGTTAATGCCAGGGACTAATTCCAGATGATTTTGTTAATGTTAGGGACTAATTCCAGGGAGATGAGGGTATATGTCAATGAGACAGCAACTCACCAACCAATAAAAATAAATGATATCAGAGTTCACTCCACCAGTTCCAGATTATATTTTGTATTACAGGACTGTTTTGTAACTTAGGTTCCTACTGTATTTCTCTGCAGTTTACTCTTAGTGATTCGTCTTGATACCTATGTTTGTGCTTGAATTAAATCTAGATGTTTATTATACTGTAGGGGACCATGTGAAACTACTACTACTGTATTACACAATTTACTAAAAGGATTTAGTTATTTACAGGACTGTGAAGACCATGCTATATTACTATGCAGTTTACTATTAGGGTTTGGTCTAGATGCTTACGTCTGTATTGGGACTAAATCTAAAGGATCGGTCCATGCGTGGGTGATGACCATTACTGTAGATGGTTTAGTTACTTTCTGGGAAAGTCTTAATGGTCACAGGTATGGATATTTCACAGTTTGAATTCCAGTTTTATCCTTTCATGGAAAAATGTATTATGACATCAATTTGAACAAAATATGATTTTTCAGAAAGGAACTTTAAATTGATATCTCAACAAAAATTAGAATGATCAAAGTTGTAAATTCTGCTGACAAGTGTATATGCTTAACTAACTAGTGCTTGATCCTTGGGTAAAGACAATTTAAAAAATTACAATTTTTTTATAACCCCGCTTTAAAAAAGGGGGGGTATATTGTTTTACCTCTGTCTATCCATCCGTCTATCCATCTGTCCGTCCCATGAATACTTTTCGTCGCATCTTTCTCAGGAACTACATTACAAGGATTTCTGAAATTTGGTTTCAGGGTTTATACGAGTCAGCTATACCAAGTGATGCATTTTCAGAATCATCACTCAACAATGTCCTGTTTACCGAACACTGGTATCATTTTACACATGATAGCCGAGTTGAAAATTTTCGTCCAATTTTTCTCAGGAACTACAATACAAGGATTTTTGAAATTTGGTTTCAGGGTTTATATAAGTCAGCTATACCGTGTGATGCGTTTTCAGATTCATCACTCAACAACTTCCTGTTTACCAAACACTTATATGTTTTTACACTATTAAAATTATCCACTTGCGGCGGGGGGTATCATCAGTGAGCAGTAGCTCGCAGTTTCACTTGTTCTTTCTTCAATGAGAGGTAAAACTATTTAGAATATATTTTGCATGATAAAAGAAATATATCGATGTAGCAGTCAAAATGGACAAATACGTTTAAATGCATTTTATTTCTATTAAGACTTCAAAGCAAAATGGAAATGTCACTCATTAAAATAAAAAAAATTATGATTTGTGATGGCAAACCAAAAACTACTTCCAAAGGTAAAGCAGTCTACAACAATACACAATTGTCCATGCCATATCTGAGGCTCTTAATCACCCTGAGCCTACATCAGCTGTGAATAAATTTAATATAGACTACCAAATACTCCATCAATACCAACATCTTCAATTTCACAATTTCAAAAAGTTTAACTCAGGTCGAAGCTAGGACACAGTATGAAATATTTGATAGAGTAATTCTGATCATGGAAATTGGAGACCTTAATTATGTTGTATTAAGAAGATCTTGCAGATCGAAATATTGATATCTGCAGATTTTCCAAAACTTTGATTGCACTATCATTTGATAAAGAAATACAGATTACATGTTTCTTTGTAGTCCACTGCCTTAGACAAACTTCATGTACAAAGAAACTATAATTTGAAGAGATATTGATGAATAATTTGTCTCATTTAAAAATATCTACTTTTTACTAAGTTAACTATATATTTGAAAAAATATAACACTCATACATACTGTATTTTCAGACATAGGTTTTATTATGACATAAAAAGTTGATAGACAATTTTTCTTTCCAGATATATCCATGAACCCATAGATCCAGACATGCCACCAATGGACAAAATTCACCGACCAAAATATCCTTATAAAACCATCGGCTGTGTATTTAATCATCAGTCATTTTATGGCAATAATCAAGTAAGCATTATGTCCCTGTTCAATGTGAGTTCAATAAAATGCAGAAGTATGTAACAATTGTTTAGTGACTGCAATCATGTAACTTGGTTGTATAAGGTAACAGCTATATAATCATCTACAATTCTTGTAAATAAAAATAGACAAACTGTCTCAGTTGTCTTAATGCAGTGTGTTTCCCTTGTATGCAGCATTTATGAGTAAAATTGAATACAGGCGTAGATTCATTATGATCATGACAATGATACTAGGTACTATAAAATTACTTTCTACAAACAGTAGCCTTTTGAGGTAGTTTTTATGCCCCACCTAGGGGCATTATGTTTTTAGGTCTGTGCGTCTGTACATTTGTCCTTCCATTTATTCGTCTGTCCGTCTGTCCAGCTTCAGGTTAAAGTTTTTATGCCCCACCTAGGGGCATTATGTTTTTCATTCTGTGCGTCTGTTCATTCATCCGTCTGTCCTGCTTCAGGTTAAAGTTTTTGGTCAAGGTAGTTTTTGATGAAGTTGAAGTCCAATCAACTTGAAACTTAGTACACATGTTCCCTATGATATGATTTTTCTAATTTTAATGCCAAATTAGAGTTTTTACCCCAATTTCACGGTCCACTGAACATAGAAAATGATAGTGCGAGTGGAGCATCCATGTACTATGGACACATTCTTGTTTTTAAATCTGACTCAGTATGAATTACAAACTACAAAGAAGATTATTTTAAATGACATCAATATGCTCATCTGGAATGTGGATGCTCTAATTGATGCTGAATTCTATCACATATCAGTCGCTTACATTTAATGAAAAATAAGTGGACCCTTATGCATTTTCTGCAAACAAAAATATATGTGTTCATTGAAATATATATTATTTTGTTAATATGAAAAAATGTTTTTTTTTATAGATATAAACTAAAAAGCTCAGAACTAACTTATGTCTTTTGATTCAGCCTTCAGAACATGTAGATGTCAGCCATTTTGAACTTGGAAATGAATCTCGATGGAAACCAATGTCCCAGGATGCTGTTCTGTCTGTGTGTGGTCTTGGAGCAAGCCCATCATGGCCAACTCTACCTCCACTCTGTTCCTCCACATTAGATCCTACATTAGTCAGCAATGATTTAGAACAACAGTTGAGAGTTCTACTGTTTGAACACAGAAGGGTATGAATTCCCACTACATTTGTTGATCCAGTTTTCATTTTGTTTCTATTGATCTACTTTTGATTTTTTTTACAGCACATAAGTTTACTTTGCCTGCAATATTGAGTTGATTTCTTATATTTACAATAAAATGTGAAGTTCATAAATTAAGTTGTCATTTACTTTGACTTGACTTTCGTTCTAATTTCTTAACAAAAAGGAAATATGAAAAAAATGCAAACTCTATCTGTAACTTGTTACTTAATAACTGCATTATAAGATCATACCAAAAGTCAACAATTGTTGTTGTTTTTTTTTTTTGGAAATTACACCTGCCCTAATTTTAATGATTTAAAGCAGGGCATATGTGCCATGCCAAATATCTAATTCATCAAACAGTCAGGGGAGTTACTTAAACAAGTAACTTTTTTTAGTTACTTATATAGGTAATTTTTGTTTTAAAAAAATATAAAATTACTCAATAGAGTTATTTTTAAATTTCAATAGAAGCATGGACTAAATGTAGTTTTCATGAATTTTTACATCATTTTATATCATAAAATTAAGAATTTATTAGATTTGAGAGGAGTATAGACATAAAGGGATACTTTAAAAATAATGACAAAAATGTTACTTGAATAAGTTATTTTATACATCTTTGAAAGAATAAGTAATAACACTTATTTAAGGAACATATGTAGTTGTTTTGGGTTACAGATTATAAATAACTTCAAGTCTTAATTAATTCACAAGTTTCTATCTCTTTATATCTGTCTACCTTCAAGATTTTCAAGCTTAAGGAAAACGATATTTTAATAGTCCCAAGAGATCAATCTTTGACCCAGAAGCGTCGATTTGAAAGATAAGTGCGCCAGAAAGGCAATTAGTGTTTCAGAAGAATAAGATTTTATATTTCATGGGAAAAATAACCAGATGACTGTAAAAATTTGTTAAAACTAGTAAAATCTGTATAATTGGACACCTATAAAAATAATATTTAGAAAAGTTACTTATATAAGTAATTTTTGAAATAGCCATCGTTTTCAAAATTACTTGTATAGGTAATTTTAAAAGTTACTTGTTTAAGTAATGCCCCTGACTGTCAAATAAGACATAAAATGAATTAGTGAGAAAAAACCATTGATTATACTTAGATTAAGATTTATTATAAAACTTGTTATAATAATAAAATATCTGATATTTATAAAATCTTATTCAGGATCTAGGATTGACAACAGTTTGGGATGACCAATTAAGTTATCTACTTACACCAGCCCTAGCTGCTTATGAATTAGAGAGAGTAACAGGTATGATGTACATTGTCTCTGGTTCCAACCCCTGTTATGGACTCTGCTATACATCAGTTTAATTCTCAGTGTACTTTTCTCAATCATTCCTGAAGTAGTAGGGTAAAGAGATACAATTTTTATGTAGTGACTACCTACTCTCTATTGTCACATTTTACACATCCCAGTTTGTGGTTGGTCAAGTAAGTGCCACATTATATATAACTTTGTCCAAAAGGAAAAGTCTGTTACTGGTTAAGCAAGTGCCACATTACTAACACGGAAAAAAACAGGACTTTCTGTCATAAAAAAATGATCAAAATATGTAGTTGGACAAATTCTGTACATGTTGTTTATCCACAAGATTTGTAAATCCAACAGGTTTGTCAAAATAGTCTACTATCTGAAAGTCTGTAAAATGGGGGATGTGTCATCCTCAAGAACATATCTAAATTTTTGATATAAAATAAAAGGTACAAAAAATTTCAAAGGATAACACATTTATCCTGATTTAATCCTGCAAACATTAGGTGTCAGGGGATTCTATAATCAGGCACAATAATTCTAAACCTTAGGTGCATCACATTAGTCCACAACACTAGTACTGTTGACGTAGTAAAAGCACAATGTAATATTTTGTTATTCAGGGATAACTGCTGGAAATGAAGAGTTCCAGGATTCTATGAAGCAGTGTGTGCCTGATGGCCACACATTTAAGGGATATCCTATACAGTTTTCCCATCGAAATGCTAGACGAGCTTTTGCTACCTGCCTTAGGTAAGAAATTATAGATTTAAGTTATAAGCAGAAATCAGAATTGTTTAATATACAGGTAGCTTTTAAGAAGAAAAAAAAAATGTATATATACAGATAAAATGAATACTTTGTCCAAATAATTGGTGTGATGTATAAATATATATATTATTTATAATGGGAGTTTTTTATCTCTTTCTTTGCATTTTCCCCCAACAAATAAGATTATATAATAACGAGGGGATCCCTAAGCTGCTTTCCTGGTCAATGTAACAGGTGATTATCATTAAAATATGTTTAAAATTGAAAAAAAAGAGTTATAAGCAGAACGTGTTCATATTTGGGTTTCATTACACAAAGGGACAACAAGTTTACATTTGGATAAGTTATCTACATTTTTGTCTCGCCTTGACGGAGTCAAAAAGTGAGACATAGGTATGCTCTTTCCGGTGACGGCGGCGTCAACAATGTATTAGTTTGTGATTAGGTCTTATTCATGGTAAACCACTAGTGGTAGGTCAATGATATTTGGTATGCAGTTGTATTAGCATTGGCACATCTCATTACCATGGAGATTATTTGGCCCTGCCCCCTCAGTCAAGGTCTATTGACTTTGAAACTTTTCATAGTTTACATGTATTAGTTTGTGATTAGGTCAATTTATGGGGAACCACTAGTGATAGGTCAATGATATTTGGTATGCAGTTGTATAAGCATTGGAATATCTCATTTCCATGGAGATTATTTGGCTCCGCCCCCTTAGTCATGGTCTATAGACTTTGAAAATTTTGCTAAGTTAACATGTATTAGTTTGTGATTAGATCAGTTCAAGGGGAACCATTAGTGGTAGGCAAATGTTAATTGGTGTTCAGTTGTATAAGCATTAGCACATTTCATTTCCATGGAGAATATTTGGCCCCACCCCCTCAGTCATGGTCTATTTACTTTGAAACTTTTGCTTACTTTACATGTATTAGTTTGTGATTAGATCAGTTAAGATGAACTGCTAATGTTAAGTCAATGATATTTGGTATGCAAATTTATTGGCATTTTGCAAGTTATGTTTCCATGGAGATTATATAGCCCCACCCCTGATCATGGTTCATTGACTTTGAAACTTTTACATAGTTTACATAGTTTAATGTAATGTTTGTGTTTTAAGGTTTGTTTAAAAGGAACGACTTATAATAAGTCAATGGTATTTGGTATGCAGTTGTATTAGCATTTCATGGAGATTGTTTAGCCATGTACCTTCAGTCATGGTTCATCGACTTTGAATATTTGCATAACTTACATGTTAAAGTATTGCTATTTTAATTTCAACATTTGTATACACCTTATCGCTATTCCCGGCTGACCCGAGAATCTGTCCCGCTTGAACTTTTGACGTCATACAACAATCACTTTTCCATTGTGGTGTCAGATATTTTGTATTGTGACGTCAAAATTTTACGTGAACCTGTGTGATGTCCAGTAATGGCGGACAAATAGCGATAAGGTGTATTATCAAAATTACAAAAAGGCGAGACATATCTCTGTGATAACAGTTTATTTAAGAAGTTATGTTTATGCATGTCTAATTTGTGATATTTTAGACACTGTCATACATATTTAATCTACATACAATGTTCATGCTCACTGATTTGTGATAATTGGGGAAACATGCACAGCTGACTGACATAGCTGTTTATTAGTGGTATTGATAAAACTTTTTTATATTTAAAATTGAGAATGGAAATGGGGAATGTGTCAAAGAGACAACAACCCGACCATAGAGCAGACAACAGCCGAAGGCCACGAATGAGTCTTCAATGCAGCGAGAAACTCCCACACCTGGAGGCGTCCTTCAGCTGGCCCCTAAACAAATATGTATACTAATTCAGTGATAATGGACGTCATACTAAACTCCAATTTATACACAAGAAACTAAAATTAAAAATGATACAAGACTAACAAAGGCCAGAGGCTCCTGACTTGGGACAGGTGCAAAAATGCGGCAGGGTTAAACATGTTTTTTTGAGATCTTAACCATCCCCCTATACCTCTAGCCAATGTAGAAAAAACAAACGTACAACAGTACGCACAGTAAAACTCAGTTTAAGAACAGTCTGAGTCCGATGTCAGAATAGGAAACAAAAGAAAATAAACAAAATGACAATAATACATAAATAACGACAGACTACTAGCAGTAACTGACATAAAATACTTGTAAACATGAAAATAAGGAGATGTGGTATAATTTTTCGGATAAGACTACTATGAGAACTTTTTTGTAGAAATTAAACAAATGTACTTTCCTATTTTAGATCACCTGTTTGTGAAGAAATTGTAAACTGTCGAGGAGATCACGTCAGACTTGCTGTTCGTGTCAAAATTTACCCATATCCAGAATCAGCATGTGCGACTTGGATTATGTTTGCTTGCAAATATAAGTCTGTACTGTGAGGGTTTGACTTTACTCAGTAAAAGGTTGTTTGAACTTGTGAGGTTATGCCAGTATATTGAAAAAGAGTATCTGAAATCCTTGCCAGAAGATGTGGAGTGAGAAAGCTCAGAATGACAGCATTTCAGACAAGAGTTAATATTGTCTTAATTTGACAAGAATGTTGATGTACTTTAAAAGTACCTCTGATATTATACCACTGATATTTTTAACATATACTGTGCTGTTTGTTTACAAAGTATATGCAAAAACTAAATTTTCTAAAGGAAAGAAAATATTTTCTAAGAGAAATCAATCATACAGTTTAATCATGTTTTCTATATATTTATAGATCACAAAACTGTTTGTTAGGTCCTGTCTGATGTGTTTCAATTTCTGCTTTTAGTAGAAATTATCATTGAAATTAGTATGCATGAAATGACAAACAGACTGGTTTTCTGAACACTATATTTTCTAACAACAGCTTTCATTAGTGGGTTTTAAAAAAAAAATTAAATGTACTTTCCATAAAACTATTTCTTTTATTTTATCGTTTTACAAACAGATATATTTACAGGCCTAGGATTTCATTAGTGGATTCAGATTATACTTTATGAACATTTGTATACTTTACTTCTTCAGAATTTTTCATGCTTGTGAATATAGAAATGATGTGTAGCTGTTTATATTAGCATTAGCTATGTTTAAAAGGTATAGATATATACTTTCTTGAGATAAAAAAGAATATTTTGGAGAAACAGCCACAATTTTAAACTGGTACAATACATAGAATACACATTCCACAGTTTCAAACTATTATAGTAGGGCAGCATCTTTTTGAGAATGATTATTTTGTATACGTCCAAATGGTATCATAATGGTGAAGTTAATATAAAAATTATGATACCAAAAATACTGACTGCTCAAACATAATAACACCAAAGAGGAACAATATTGTTGATGTATATTAAAGAATTATATTGTTGTAAGGTGCTTTGATAATAATTGTGATTATTTTCTATATTTTTGTTTGTATATATGAAATGTTTAGTGCTTGTTTTATTTTTACAAAAGACTGCATAACAAATATAAACTGTGATGTAGTTAATCATTAGATAATAGAGTTAATTTTTATGCCCCACCTACGATAGTAGAGGGGCATTATGATTTTTCCGTCTGTGAGTCTGTTCGTTCATTCGTTCTTTCGTCCGTTTGTCCCGCTTCAGGTTAAAGTTTTTGGTCAAGGTAGTTTTTGATGAAGTTGAAGTCCAATCAACTTGAAACTTAGTACACATGTTCCCTATGATATGATCTTTATAATTTTAATGCCAAATTAGAGTTTAGACCCCAATTTCATGGTCCACTGAACATAGAAAATGATAGTGCGAGTGGGGCATCATTTTTGATAATTTCAAATGTGAGAATGGAAATGTTAAATTTGAACAGTGATTAGTTAAATTTACGATTGATTGTCTAACTATGGTGTAAAACAAACTGTTACGCAATTCTGTTTGCATATATGTTAAAATTTATGTGCAAGTGCCATATTTTGTAACGAGAAGACTTAGAACATATTCATGCTAACTAAGTAAATTTAGAAAACATAATATAATATACTGTTTTTACAAATAGTAAAAACCTTTTTCCATTATCAGACCTGATTTCTTTCTGCATTTCCAATCAAGATTTTACCATTATTGTTTCTGTATTTTATAGTATTTTTGACTTCCATCCCAGCCATTTACTTTCTTTTTTAACCAGTTGGTCAAATCAGGCAAGAACTACATTATGACTGAAAGATGTAAAAACAAATTTTTATAAGTATAATTTGAGACTTAGATGAGTTCAATCTATGTTTTTTTGTTGGGTTTCTGTCTCATTGATGTTTAACAAGAATCTCCTTTTGTTCATTAATGCAACGACACTACATTTGTGATAGACTTAGCAGGTACAGTGACTAAAACATGACCAAATTATAAAGTTTTATATTTCCATCCAAATTTTTGCAAAGAAATATGAGTGCTTTTCATTTTACTTTATAATGTTATAGTTAATAGTCTTATTTCTTCTTAATAAAATGGCTGTCAAATTAATGTTCATAGTATAGAGACCAATATATTTTTTAGATTTTTTCTGCCTATTTTCTTGTGATGTACATGTATTTTATGTTTTACACTGCAGCAGCATTTATGTAATAAATCATTTATCAACTGAGATTTTTCATTTAAACAGGGGAAACAAGATGTAACCTCAGCGTTATATTACAGAGCTGAATGGGGTTTTGTTGATTATTTTTTCTCTAAAGTTAGGGTCAATTGCCTTTTTAACTGCAGGTTTGAAACCACTTGGGTCTGTGTCAACCAGTATTTACAGAGATGATCTATAGTAGCATTGGAAAATTCTTGATTCTGGTTGGTCAGCTTTTGGTTAGAGAAGGCTATCGTTCCAATTTTTTTTCCAAAGCAACAGCCTCCCTTTCAGGAAGTAGCCAGATAAGCTACTGAATCTATATACAATGAAATATAGTTCCCAATAATTCTTATGGCTGTGTATATATGCACAAATGATCTTTGAAAAATTTGGTTTATATCTTTAGAGCAGTTTGTTCAAGTATAATTGTAATTAGTATTGTCAATTTGCTGGCTAGTTTGGTCATTTTAATTGGTAGGAGTACTGATACAATGCCAGAATGATTGACAGCTGTCATGATCAACAAAGAATCGGATAAGTCAGAGCCTTAAATGACTTGTATTTGGTAATTTATTCTGTTTCAAAAATGGTTTATTTAAAACAGGAAATTGTAAACATTATTTGATTACAATATGGAATTTAAATTAAACAAAGTTGTTATGCAAATAAAGGGACACACTGTCATTGACTCACATCTGAGACTACAATAGAAGTCTCAACTCATTATTTAGGAGTTTTACTGACTTTGAACAGCAACTTCAAGTGGTTACAAGTGATTTTGAGTTCCTGAAGGTTTAATTATATCCCTTTTTGTCTTGAAATCCAACAGAATAGAATATGTTATTCAGTCCTCAATCAGTTTCTTTTATCCACTTGAACACAAAATCCCAAGCTGACTTTTGACCTTCCTGTCCAAAAACTTCCTCTTGCTACTACTGGAAATTTTATCCAATTTACTATTGACATTTTTGATTGCTGGAAAAAGCTGGAGTACATGAAACAACTAATAACCAAAAACCAGCATTACAAGATTGCCTTTAATCACACGTAAAGATAAAGAACTGGTGAACCGGTGAACTGATATGAAAAGCGCATTAAAAAGTGTTAGCAAGATAATTAACTACATACAAAATTTTCTCTAACTGTAAAGCCCTGGTCACACCTTTCCGGATAGCGCGAACGGACGCCGAACGGATAACTTTTTTTCAATCCGTTCATGTCAGTTAGACATCCCTTATCCGATGAGCATGTTCAAAACTTTGATCTGATGTCCAACGGATGAAGTGTCCATTGAACGTCCGATAGGCATCCGTTTCCGTTTTTGTATCCGTTACTTGTCTGTTATACATCGGTTGGAGGTCCGGTAGACCAATTCACCAACGGAATTCTACCGGACGTATAACGGATAAAACGGATGTTGAACGGATGTGAAACTGACATGAACAGAAGGATAATGGATAAAACAGATACGTACTGAATGTAAAACGGATAAATGGCAATTGAAAATTTCGCGTCAGAAATGCCAATTATTGGTATGTCAGATTTCTTGAGTGTCATGAATGTTTATTTTTCAAGATGGATCTTGGAGTAAGAGCACTTCTTCACTATCAAGCAGCTTTTATTCAGGCCTAACTGAACTTAAATGTTGCAAATATAAACCTACCAGCTGTCGAAAGGAGAAGACAAAGGAGATGGTGGACAAGATCATGGCTTAGTCCTGAAAGACGACGCAGTTTTTGTCTATATGACCAACTCATGACCGAACTGAGGCGGGAGGATCGGCAGTCCTTTATACACTTTCTTCGAATGCCCCCAGAGATGTTCGACGAGATATTGCAGCGGGTCGGCCCTCGCATAGCAAAGCAGAACACATTTTACAGAAATCCGCTAAAACCAGGACTCAAGTTAGCAATTTCACTTAGACACCTTGCTTCTGGAGCAAAATATCGTAGCATGCAGTACAGATGGAGAGTTCCGCATAACACCATATCCGTTTTTATACCAGAAATACATAATATTAACTGATTTAAAATATCAACTTCAACTTTAAAAGAATGAATTACTACATTGCTTCAAAATTTTTCGAATCAGAGTAGCGCTATATTTGCACACATATCATGCAAAACAAAACGTAATACAAAAATAAAATCAACTAAACAAGTGCACCAAGGTGTCTCTTGCCTTTCAAAAAAAATCGGATTACTTGTTCTATTTGTTTGGTACGCGTGACCTTGAACTTTGTCCTTCTGACCCCACTTACGCAAAAGCAAATATTATAATAAACGGATGACTCATACTGGTATACCATGTCCATATGACACTCTCCAATCATCGCTAGGGACAACAGTGCGCAAAACTTTTTTACAAGTTGGGTTCCATCAGTTGTTTGCATGTATATTATTTCAGGTGTGCCAAGCAATCATCGACGAGTATGTGGATGAAGTCATGCCCTTCCCAAGCACAGCGGATGACGTGAAGCGGATCACGGAAGGATTTATGGAGAAGTGGAACTTCCCTCATGCACTGGGGGCCTTGGATGGTAAACATGTGACATGTAAATGTCCACCTGGTTTTGGGTCCACCTACTTCAACTACAAGAAGTACTACTCCATTAATTAATTATTAAGGTCATGTGTATGTGATTAACATGTATTATTATTGCCGCCTTTAATTTTCCGCTTATCTTGTTCATCCGTTTTATCCGGTACTCTTCCGTTTGGTGTCCGTTTTATGCGGTACTCGTCTGTTGGATGTACGTTCGACATCCCTTCTGTCCGGTACGTTTCCGTTTCTCGTACATTGCATATCCTGTGTGTGTCCGTTAGCCATTCATTACGTGTCCGTTTTATTTGGTCAGTACACTAACGAACTCCCAACGGATAAAAATTTTGTCAACGGAAAACTTTTTTTTTCATCCGTTCGGCGTCCGTTCGAGCTATCCGGTAAGGTGCGACCACAGCTTAAAGGAATGATTTAGATTGATTGATTGATTTTTGGTGTTTTAACGCCATTTTAAGCATCGCTTTTGGGCTATTTCGTGGCGGCCAGTTTTTATTGGTGGAGGAAGCCGGAGTGCCCGGAGAAAACCACGACCTTCGATAGGAAAACTGACAATCCTAGTCAATTAAGATTGGAGTCGAGTGCACCTGCACGAGCGGGGTTCGAACTCACAACCTCAGTGTTGACTGGCTAGTGATTACAGTAGTAACTACTTAGACCACTCGGCCACCGAGGCCCCAGGAATGATTTAGAGATCCACTGCAGAGGTCCTTTTAGTCATGGTAATCATAGCAGTTATAGTTGAAAATGGATTCGATATACTGTATTGAATTGAAGCTTTCTATGCCCCTGCCGTAGCAGAGGGGGAATTAAGTTTTACCCTTGTCCGTCTACGTCTGTCCTTCCGTCCGTCCGTACATCTCAAAATTGGCTTCCGTTCTCCAACTTTAGTTTGCCTCAACCAAATGTTATGAAACTTATACACAATGCTTATTACCACAAAACACAGACCAGGTTTGAAATTTGGTGGCGTTACTTTTACCGTTCTAGAGTTATACCCTTTACAAATGGAAAAATTGCTAAATTTTTCATTTCCTTTCTCTAACTTTAGTTTGCCTCGACCAATTGTTATGAAACTTGTACACAATGCTTATTACCACAAAGCACAGATCAAGTTTGAATTTTGGTGGCGTCACTTTTACTGTTCTAAAGTTAAGCCCCTTTCAAAATGGAAAAATTGCTGAATTTTTCAGTTCTGTTCTCTCACTTTAGTTTGCTTCAACCAAATGTTATGAAACTTATACACAATACCTATTACTACAAAACTCAGATCAAGTACAAATTTGGTTAACGTCGCTTTCACTGTTCTTGAGTTATGTCCCTTTATAATATTTTTAGCAAGCGGGGGCATCATATGTGTCCCATGGACACATTCCCCATTTATTTTCCATGCTCCATTGAATTGAAAACATGTTGAGTGTTTTGTTTTTAATTTGGTTGAATTAGTACAAAGATGTAAGTGATATATACAAATGAAAAAGAAATGACTCCATCAAGTTACTGTTTTTAGACTTTCTTGTTTCTCAGTTCAGTCTGAAATGTACATGGACTGTTTGTGTGGCATTCGTCATTATCATGATTTTTCCAGAGGGAAATCTGGTTGATTGATAAATGATTTCTTAATGTCATAAACAGTCAGGTTTTTTTTAATAGCACAATTGAAAATGATATTGATTACAACGAAAAGGCTGAATGGTTTATGTTTGTGTATTCATTTATGATAGTTGCTCCGATGGTTTTACTCATATGTATATCCATCCATTCATACTTTTAATCCATAGACTTCAAATCAAGTTTTTCAACAATGCTTTGGTATATTGAGCTAAAATTTCACACGATTGTCATACAGGATATTAAATAAAGACTTTGGAAAAAAGCATCACATACTATAAATTGGGTCAATTTCTGATGACATTAAAGTCACTATTGCTCGTGACAAACATGTGCGACTAACACTTTTCTGCATCTCCTTGGAATAGATCAAATCAAATTTCTATTCGGACCCATGGTAGCCTTTGCCATTCATGTTGCAACCCTTGACTGAGTTGGTCCAATGCTTGTGATGTGGGTTTCCGTTGACATCTATCAAGTTTGCCCCAAAGATGTTCTATGGGAAAATAATAAGGTGACTTAAAGGACCAAACATTACATTAATGTTGTTCAGAGATCGATGGTTTCTCTTTTGGTACAGGGCAAGGCATTGCCCTACTAAAACATCTCCCTATGTTTGGTCAATAAACTTGAGCATATGCGGCTGCATAATATCGTCTCTTGAACGTTAAGACCTTAAATATGCCTGGACAAACACTAGGTTTTTATCTCACGTGGCCGAAAGGCCATGTGAGCTTTTCTCATCACTTGGCGTCTTTCGTCTGTCGTCGTCCGTTGTCGTTAACTTTTACAAAAGTCTTCTCGGAAACTACTGGGCCAAATTTAACCAAACTTGGCCACAATCATTATTGGGT